TGGGTAGCAGTCCATTGTGTCTGTCTGTCTGTCTATCTATCTATCTATCACATCATCCAACGAGGGACATTTAGTTTTCATGTCTTGGCTACCATGAAGAATGTTGCAGGGATACATACATATTTATGGGGTGTTTTTTAATTTTTCAGGTAGATACCCAGCAGAGGGGTTGCTGGGTCATATGGTAGCTCTATTGTCAATTTTTTTAGGAACCTTCATACTGTTTTCCGTAGTGGCTATAACAGTGTACATTCCCACCAGCGATGTGTGAGGATTCCTTTTTCTCCAAATCATCTCCAACACTTATTTCTTGTCTTATTGCTAATAGCCATTCTGACAGGTGTGAGGTGGTCTTTCATTGCGATTTTGATTTGTGTTTGCCTTATAGCTAGTGAAGTTGAGCATCTTTTCATATATCTGTTGGCCATTTGTATGGCTTCTTAGGAACTGTCTGTTTAGGTCCTCTGCCCATTTTTATGTACTTATTTTTTTTTATTCTCACCGAGGACATTTTTGCATTTATCTTCAGATAGAGTGGGAGGGAGGGAGGGACAGAGAGAAAGAGAGAAACATCGATGTGAGAAAGACACATTGAGTGGTTGCCACCCACATGACCCCATCCGAGGCAAGGACAAACTGCAACGGAGTTATGAGGTACGTGCCCTTAGCAGGAACCAAACCTGGGTCTTTCTGGTCCGCAGGCCGACACTCTAACTGCTGAGCTAAACCGGCCAGGGCTCTCTGCTCATTTTTAAAATTGCATTTTTGTTGTTGTTATGAGTTCTGTATATATTTGGATATTAGCCCCTTATTGGAGGTATTGTTAGCAAATATTTTCTGTTGTTTGGTTGTCTTTTTGACTTGTTAATGGTTTCTTTTGCTGTGCATTTTTTTTTTTTCTTTAAAGATGTTAGTAGAGAGAGGGAGGGGAAGGGAGAGGGAGAGAGAGAAACATCAATAGGAGAGAACATTGATTGGCCGCCTCCTGCATGCCCCCTACTGGGTTTCAGGCCCACAACCTGGGCATGTGCCCTGACCAGGAATGCAGCCAGTGACCTCTTGTTGCAGGGTCGACGCTCATCCATGAGCCACACCGGCCAGGCTGTGCAGTAGTTTTCTTAGTTTAATGTAATCCTATTCATTTATTTTTGCCTTTACTTCCCTTATCTTTGGGATCAAGTTCACAAAAACATAGTACTTATGTTTTCTTCTATGTATTTTATTGTTTTAGGTCTTATTCAAGTCTTTCATTCTCTTTGAGTTAATTTTCGTGTGTGGTGTCAGACTGCAGTCTACAGTTTCATGCTTTCACAGTGTCGTATTGCATGTCAGCCTTTTTAGTCGATGTCATTGGTAAGCTTTTTCCCAGTTGACATCTGTATGTCTAGTTCATTCTTTTTGACTGTGATGTATAATACATGTATTAGTTAGTATTACTATGTAAAATATTACCCTAAATTTACTGGTTAAAACAACATTTAGTGTTTCACAGTGTCTCGGTCTCTCAGAGGGCTGGAATCAAGGTGTCTGCTAGAGCTGTGGTCTCATCCGTGTCCGGGACACGCTGTCTGTAATTCAGCTCATAGTGGCTGTGGGCTGGAGGCTCCCTTCACCTCCACGCCACATGGGCGTCTCCACAGGGCCTTTCACAGCATGGCAGGGCTTCGTCGGAGCCACGGAGGAGGCCATATGGAGGTGGAGCACGAAATGGAGCCATGTCTCTGCGGGAGGAGAGGGTCGGACTGCTAGCAGCTGCCAGGCGCTAGCGCGGGGTGGTTTCTCCCTCAGTCTGCAGAAGGAACCACCTGTTGACATCTTGATTTCAGACCTCTGGCCCCGGAATTATGAGAAAAGAAATTTGTTGTTTTCAGCCATCCGTGGTAATTTATTACGGCAGCCCTAGGAAACGAATACCTTTCGTAGCCATGTTCTTGGATGTGACCCTCCTCCTCCACTGTTGCCATGCGCAGTGGGTCAGAAGCAAGCTGGAGGCCCAGCCCCCGCGGTGCTGCCAGAGGCAGGGATCGCTGGGAGCCAGCCTGAGACTGCTCCAGGAACCACAGTCTGAGTGTAAGGCTACAATTTCTTTTTTTTCTTTTAAGCATTTTTATTGAAATATAATTCACATAACCATACAATTCACCCATGTAGAATATACAACTCAGTGGCTTTTAGTATGTTCCTCGGGTTTGTGCGTTTATCACCACAATGTAGTTTTAGAGCATTTTTGTCACCCCCAAATGAAGTCCTGTACCCACTAGCTGTCACTCCCTATTTTGTAGCCCTAAGCAACCAGTTAGGTACTTTCTGTCCAGATATTTGCCTATTCTGGACATTGAACATTGTTTCTTTGGGGGAGAGGGGGAAATCTTATAACAGGGGTTTGTGGTTTACAGACTTCCAAGGCTTATCCTGTGTGACAATTTTTTTTTAAATTTATTTTTCAATTACAATTGACATTCACTATTACAATAGTTTCAGGTGTACAGCGTAGTGGTTAAGACATTTATATACCTTACTGTGTGATCCCCTGAGAAGTCTAGTATCCACCTGACACTGCATATAGTTATTACAATTATTATCTTTTTTAAAAATGTTTTTTTATTTTTCAAAGAGAAACATCAATTGGCTGCCTCCTCTATGCCCCCTACTGGGGATCGAGCCCACAACCTGGCATGCGCCCTGACCAGGAATCGAACTGGGGACCTCTCCGTCCATGGGACTGACGCTCAATCCACTGAGCCACACTGGCCGGGCACAGTATTTTTGACTGTATTCCCTCTGCTGTATTTTACATCCCTGTGACTGTTTCCTAACTGCCAATTTGTACTTCTTAATCCCCAATCCGCATCCCATCTGGCAGCCATCAATTAGTTCTCTGTAGCTGAGTTTTAGTTTATATTTTAGATTCCACATGTAAGTGAACTACGATATTCATCTTTCTGTGTGACTTATTTCACTGAGTGTAATACCTTCTATGCCCATCCATGTTGTTGCAAATGGCAGGTTTAGTCCTCCTTATGGCTGAGGAGTATTCTCTTATGTATATATGTACCACATCTTCCTTATCCATTCATCCATCAATGCACACTTAGATTGGTTCCATGTCTTGGCTGTTGCAGATAATGCTGCACTGAACATAGGGGTACATACATCTTTTCATATTAGTGTTTTGGATTTCTTGGGATAAATGCCAAGAAGTAGAATTGCTGGGTCATAAGGTTATTCTGTTGTTTTAAAAACATTTTTTCTTTATTGATTTTAGAGAGGGAGAGAGAGACAGAGATATCGATCAAAGAGAACATCGATTGGCTGCCTCCTGCATGCCCCCCACTGGGGATCGGGGCCACAACCTGGGCAGGTGCCCTGACCGGGAATCAAATCAGTGACCTCTTGGTGCAGGGGCCGACACGCAGCCACTGAGCCACACCAGCTGGGCAGGTCATTCTATTTTTAAAAGCCTCCATGCTGTTTTCCTTAGTGGCTGCATCAATTGACAATTCCATCAATGGTGCATGAGGGTTCCTTTTCTCCACATCCTCGCCAGTACTTTAAATTCCGTATTTTTTTGTTCCTTTGACAGTTCCCCTTAACTTGTAAGTCATTGCACTGAAGGTCTGATCTGCACTACGTGAATCTCTTCTGCCCCCTGAACATGTAGCAGGTCCTTGTTTGGGCACCTTCTCCTTCTCCTCCGCCACTCAATTCCCTTTTTGCCCTTGTGCTTACCAGTCTCTTCATTTGCCACTGGTTTCTTGAACCACCTCCTCTTTCAGCATTTCTTCCTGCAGGGTCTGTGTATAATGAGCTGTGTGCATGTCTGGAATTACAGCTACCTTCTCTCTGAAGGCTGGTTCAGTTAGGTATGTAATTCCAAGCTCGTGGTCTCTTTCGGTATTTTGAAAACATTATTCCTTTGTCTTCTGCAGATGAGAAGTCTGCTGACAGTCTAACACTAGTTCCTTGTAAGTGGTCTGTCTCTTCTCATAGCTTTTAGGTTACACTCTGAACTGAGTGCTCTAGTTTGTGTGTCATGGATTTATTTATTTGTTCAGATAGAGTGAGGGAGAGAGAGAAACATTGTGAAAGGGACACATCGAGTGGTTGCCGCCCGCACGACCCAACCAGGGACAAACTGCAGCCGAGGTACATGCCCTTAGCAGGAACCGAACCCGGGTCTCTCTGGACCGCAGGCCGACGCTCTAACCGCTGAGCCAAACCGGCCAGGGCTGGATTTATTTTATTAACCCTACTTGGGACTGGCGTGCCCTTTAACTCTGGGGAGTTATGCGTGTCAAATCCTGAGGGCCCCTTGGGCTTTCTTTGGATGGTGTCTCTCTCTATATATATTCTCCCTTCCGGATCTCCTAGTATAGACATTTGGAAACATGTCATTCTATCTTCCCTATTTTAACTTTCCTCTTATTTTCCATTTTTAATCTCTCTGCTGCATGATGACTACTTTAAGCCTTCCGATTCACTAGTTTTGTGTGTAGTCGAGTCTGGTCTTCTGTTAAACCTACAGAGCTTTGTTTGTTTTGACAGTGATGTTCTTCATATCTAGAGTGTCTATTTGGTTCTTTTTGTAATCCACGTCGGCTCACCTTACATATGTTCAGCATACTCGTGCTGTGTTCCAGATACTGCCTGAACTGCTCTCACCTCACGATGGCTGAGCCCTTGTTTCAGGAGGAGGGGAGAGGACTACCTCCCCACCTCAGGCAGCATGTCTTTCCATAGACACAGAGGTCCCAGAAGGGTGCCCAAAATCCATGTGGTGAGTTAAGGTAGTTCTGAGAATTTTTCAACATATTCATGACCTTTTGTGAAGTTGAAATAGTCATTTAACTGTTAACCTTTTCTATCAGTAAAGGACTTTGCTTCATTGAGAGGGAGAAAAAGAGGAAATAAAGTCTTATAAAAACCAAAGAAAAGGTAACACATGAATTCTTAAAAAGTTTAATTTCATTTTTATCTTTGAAAAAAAGCAATGTAACTTTGATATGTCATCATGTGTCATTTTTTATGGTACTACATTTATTGAAAGTGTGAAGATACAGAACCTTTATAAATATCTGGAATTTAAAACGACCACTTACGTGGGAGTGGGGAAGGACGGACATCTATAATTCTTTCAACAATAAAGATACATTTTAAAAAATTACCACTGAAGGTGAAAACAGATTGGTCTTAAAAAGTCAACTTAGGGGATCAATGGGACATCTGTAATACGTTCAATAATAAAGATAATTTTTTTAAAAGTCAATTTAGTAAATATTCCATGTTTGCTGTTTGTTTCTATGAGAATATTCTGTATAAACACTCTACAAAGTAAGGCAAACTTTTGGAAAAGTCATTAATAAAATTTTACGAAAACAGTGTTCAGTCTTAATTTCTTTTAATTTGCAGAGTCATTGGCAAAGCACATCAGGTGGGTAGAGTGGTTTCAGAGGCCCAGTTTCTATACAGGAGGAGCTCTTCCCCTGTAGAAAACAGGTTTTCTTGATTAGCATAAATTTAAAAAATGAACATATACAAATATTTCTATAGTGCCCTGGCTGACGTGGCTTAGCTGGTTGGAGCCTCGTGTGTACACTGAAAGGTTGTGAGTTCAATTCCTGGTTGAGGCACATATGGGAAGGCAACAGATAGATGTTTCTCTTTCCCTTCCTCTCTAAAACCAATCACATCCTCAGGGGAGGATTAAAAAATATATATATATCTTTAGTGCAGTAAAAATGTCATTTTATATTTTTAATTTGCATTATGAAAATAAGTGTACACTAAGTATTACATATTTAATGAACATGAATCATGTAAATTTGGTCATGGCATTTAAAGTTGACTTTGAAGTATTTTTTTTATCCTCACCCGAGGACATTTTTCGTTCAGATAGAGAGAAACATCGATGTGAAGGGACACATCGAGTGGCTGCCACCCGCACGACCAACCAGGGCCGGGGACAAACTGCAACCGAGGTACGTGCCCTTAGCGGGAACCGAACCCGGGTCTCTCCGGACCGCAGACCGACGCTCTAACCGCTGAGCCAAACCGGCCAGGGCGACTTTGAAGTATTTTTAAAGTCATAGAAAATGTTGAAGTTGTAATAAAACATTTTAATGATTGATATTGTAATCAGTTCCTTCTCCATTTACAAATTTTGAGGCTATCAGTACTGCTCCAAAGTTAGTGATTATACCTTCTAGGAGGTGGAGAAAGGTTAGAATGCCATACATTGTTCTCAGTGCTGAACCATAATTGTGAGACACTTTGCCAGAATGCAGGATTTAAGGTGAGTTTTCACTTCCTTCACCTTTTACCTGCTTCACCTTGACCAGCACAATCAACGCCGCCAAACCATTGCAGCCTTCACACTCACTTTCTTTTTTATCCTCACCCGAGGACATTTTTCCATTTTTTGTTCAGAGTGGGGGAGAGAGAGAAACATCGACGTGAAGGGACACATCGAGAGGCTGCCACCCGCACGACCAACCAGGGCCGGGGACAAACTGCAACCGAGGTACGTGCCCTTAGCGGGAACCGAACCCGGGTCTCTCTGGACCGCAGGCCGACGCTCTAACCGCTGAGCCAAACCGGCCAGGGCCACACTCACTTTTAACTTCACCACCTTCTCCTACCTCGACTTTTCCCTACTTCCACCCACCTCTGTAGCTCACCTTGCCCTGCACCTTCATGCACACTCTCCACTTCTCCACTCTGGCCGCCTCCGCATTCTCGCACCTACTTCACACCTCACCTTCAGCCCTTTAACCCTCCTCACGCTGACTCTGACCAGGTCCGCGCCGCCTCCAGCCCTGCACACTCCACTCGGCCTTTTCACTGCCCACCCTGCTTCCTAGTTCACCACCTCTCACCCTTCACTCCTCCACCTCTGCCTGGACCTTGACCTGCACACCCTTCGTCTTTGCCACCTCGACCGCTTCACACTCAGCCTCACTCTGAATTTGACCACTTTCTTCTTGAACTTCTCCGCCTGGACCACCTGCCTACACCTTCTCTTACCACTTCGCCTTCCCCACGTGCACCTTCACACACCTTTCTCCAGCGCAGTCTCCCCTGTGGCTTCCTTCACCCTCAGCCCCCTGACCTTCAACACAACTTTCAGCATCCTTGAGACACACCATCTTTACCTCCTTGGCCTGAACCACTTCATCACCATTACCCTCACTTTGAGCTGTATCACCTACACCCCTTTCACTACGACCTTCTCCACCTTGGTCACTGTGTTGATGAAGGCAGTGAGAGTCAAGGTGGCAGAGGTGTAGGAGGTGGGTGAAAGTAGGGACCCTCTGCCCGGCACACTCAAGTGTTGGCTACAGAACGTGGCTCCGCACAGCTGCCTACTCTTCTCATTCTGTGTCGCAGAACCGACAAAACCAAGGAACAGGGTCACGTACTATTTTGGTTCCGGGGGTGGAGGTGGTCGGAGGCTCCGCAGCTTCATCTTGTCGAGTCCTTCCCAGTATTTGAAGTTGTTGTCCAGATGCTGCAGTAACTCTGGCAGGTTGACAAAGGCTGGAGAAACAGAAGAGGATGTGAAATGTTTTCACAGCCTCGGTTCAGAGGTTTGGGCTTTCTAAGGAGAGAGCCTTCAGAAGAAAAATGGGATAGGAGTAGGCATTACAGATCACTAAGAAACACTAAGTTACATGAGGGGGCACACGGCATGAACCCAGGTTTACTGAAGGGAAGTCCTGTATTTATGCCAGCAGCATCTCCAGGAGCTGTTCAGCTGACAACTCTGACGAATAAAACAGACGAGCACATGTGCTTCATTCCCATCATCAGGAACTGATGGTATCAGGAACAAGGTATGGTGAGCCCCCGACCCTACGGCACTGCCAGGAAGAAGCAGGCTGTGCGCGCCCCTCCCCCCTTGCAGTGCGGACCACATCTGCAGTCTATCTGCCTTGCAGCTCTTCCCGAGTGCGGTCCCACGGCGGGCAGGACAGGGTCCCAGGGCGAGGTCGTGGGGCCTCCTTCCTGAGAAACCTCCACCTGACAGGCCCCTTGGCTGGCACTGGAGGTTAAGGAGAGTGATGTGCGTGTCCGTCAGGGATGAGAGCTAAGCCTGGGAGCAAGTGGCTCCCAAAGGAACACTGGGTGTGGAGTCCATGTTAACTTCTCCACTACCAGCTGTGTGGCCCCAAGTTCAATTCTCTCCCCTATGAAACGAGCATACAACATCCACGCGGGAGGGGGTCAGTTAACGAGGAGATGCACAAATAGCCCAGCCTTCAGGGGCTCTGGGTGATAGCTTTTCTCAGTCTTCCTGGAAAGTCTCGGCCCCAAGCATAATCTGGAGTCAAGTGCAGGTTTTGCGACCCCCGCGCCCTCTGTTCGGAAGTCTTACCGTCCCAAGCATCGAACATGCCTGTGATGAAGTAGTCCATGAAGGAGATCTGGGCCTTGGGGATGCTGCAGGTCTTTCTGTCAAAGGCCGGCATCACCACCGGCAGGTCCCGCTGCTTCTCTTCCTCGGTCTGCAGAGCAGAAAACGCCAGAAGCGCAAGGTTCAGCATCGGCTCCATCTCTGAGCACCAGACACACACCAAGTTGTTCCCAGGGTGGGGACTGACGACACCCCACCCACATTTTCGACACCTGGAAGCCTCCTGCTGAAGCTCCTCAGTTAAGATCCCGCATGGCACCCACAGCACACCCACGAGCTGCCACCGCCCAGGCCACTTTGTCCTATTTGGAAAGGTTCTGAACACCCTTGAGATCCTTGAAAGAAAACAAACACTCGGGAATGAAGAGCTTGTATGCACTGCTTTATGATGGGGATACACGCCTTGGCCAGTTTGGCTCAGCAGTTAGAGCGTTGGCTTGCAGACCAATGAGTCACGGGTTCGATTCCAGTTAAGGGCGCGTACCTCGGTAGCGTTTGTCCCTGGCCAGGTTGTGTGGGAGGCAACCAGTAAATGTGGCTCTCATCATGTCGATGTTTCTCTCTCCCACTATCTGATGATAGATAAAAAGTGATGGAGGTATGTTCTGAGACAGGCATTGCTGGGTGAACATCCGAGTGCACTTACCCAAACCTCGATGACATAGCCTATTGCAGTGCTCCTATGCTTACGCGCCTGGGCAGCACGTTGCTGTCTGAATTGTAAGGCAATGGTAACTACTTGTACATCTAAACATAGAACTGGTACACTCGTACAGGGCACTTAACCATGAATGGAGCTAGCAGGACTGGGCATTGCTGTGAGTGAATATGAAGGCCTAGGACATTACTCTTCAAGACTACAGATTTTATAAACACATCCACAAGCCCTTCTCCTGTTTCCTTTCCACAGGATCAGAAATAGAGTGTGGAAGTGGACTGGATTTACCGGAGTACTGAGGGGAAACTGGCTGGGAGAGGCAGAGCACCATAATACTGACTGTCGGGAAGGAGTGAAAGGGGGTCTGAGGATCAGGAATAAAAAATCAAGAGAGCCCTGGCTCAGCGGTTAGAGCGTCGGCCTGCGGTCCGGAGAGACCCGGGTTCGGTTCCCGCTAAGGGCACGTACTTCGGTTGCAGTTTGTCCCCGGCCCTGGTTGGTCGTGCGGGTGGCAGCCACTCGATGTGTCCCTTTCACGTCGATGTTTCTCTCTCTCTCTCTCCCACTCTATCTGTACAAAAAATGGAAAAATGTCCTCAGGTGAGGATTAAAAAAAAAAAGAGAGAGAAAGAAATACAGGGGGCTGTCGTGGCAATGTGTTTCTTGGCTATTGCATGTTGGAAGAGTGTCAGATTAAGGAATTTTATGTTACTCATAAAAAAGAGGGTGTTTAACATGGACAGGGTATAGGACTGAGGACCCAATATTTAGACTTTGGAAATTTACTTTTAGTTCCATTGACCCTATCATGCATAGGGGTTCTGCCCGGTACTGAACTGATGGAAGAAATGAACCTTATCCATGCTTTACAGCGTTACATCCGGAAAGTATTTCGGCCGTCTCCGAACTACCACAGGAAGCTTTTACTAAAGTGGCAGTGGCATTTAGTTCTTGTCCAAGATCACAGGTCCTCAACAAAGAATTACGGCAATGTACCCTGAGGACCATCCAGCTAGACGTCGAAGGGCTATGGCAGCAACTGAATGAGTAGCACTGGGAGGACAGGCTCCTCTGTGCTGAGTGAACGGGACGTAATCTGTGCTCAGAATTGAGGTGGTGAGCGGCATCGATTGCCAACCCCCCAGATATTGCTTCCATCAGAGAAAAAAAATTAAGAAACTTAAGAGGCCATGACTAACCTGAGAAAAATATTCTTCTGAGATGCGTGCGGCCCACTCAATACACTGCTCCAAGGGTCTGCAGGGATTGGACACATCAGCACACTTAATCAGCATTCGTTTGATCAGAGTTCGGTTCTCCGGAGTCCTGAGCACAGTGTTTATGGCTGCTTGGTCTTTGTCAGTTACCTAAAATATATAAGTGAAATTTAAATCAAAATGGATCCCCTAGTGCCCTGCCTTGTCTTACTGGTGTGGTCCCACCGTAAGCACGGAGAGGCACCGCCTGGGGTCCACAAAACAGTGCGGGGGAGGGACTGAGCACTGAGTGGGGCCCCTCACTTTTCAAAGGGGAAAACCAAGGCCAGTGAGGTCCCAGCAGGACCTAGGAGTAGAGCGTAGCCCTGCAGGGTGATGTATCTACTCCTGACCTTCTTCTTGGCTCTTTCTTCTTCTTTCTCACTTTACATATTTCTCACACTTGCCTTTTCTTTCTATCTTATCACTCTCCCTTGGTAAGAACTCAAAGACTGGCTTTATCTTTTAATATTTTTTCAGTTCACTTTTTTTCAGTAAATAAGAGTTTTCTGCCCTCACAGCAGAGTCTGCGGCCCATCCGGCTCCCTGCTTCTCCGACTCTGCCCTGCGGCAGCTGAGATCTTGGGAACAGCAGTCAGTGTACCAAGGTTGCGTCTGGTACTTCTTTAACACTGTCTAACATTTCGTGGTGTACAAAAAAGGACTTAACCGTCATTCTCTTTTGATCTGCATGAAAAGCAGTATTATTTACTTTGACATTTCACAGTTGAAGACCCTGGGAATCAGGGGTGAGAGGCTCACCCCAAGCTACCCAGCTGAGCTAGGGTAAGAACCTAAGTCCTACCCCCAGTCCTGGGCTCTGTGCACCCACAGAGCTATCGGATTCACAAGGAGCCCCTCTGGAGATGAACTCTCAATCCATGGAGTGATGACCTCCTGAAGCAAATTCAGGTTGGAAGAGGGAGTACTGGGCAAAGAACACCCTCAGAGAGAGAAAGCAAGTCTCATTCTGATTTTGCACCTGTCAAAGCAACCTTTCAAAGTAGTTGTGTGATTTCAGTCAGTACTCACAGTGGTCTAAGAAGGCCTTCATGGTCCCATCTCAGTGGGGACAGCTGCCACTAAGCTGGGTCGGGGACGTCCTGAGCCTAGGCGCTGGTCTGCTGGAGAGGGCCGGAGTGCCAGCCAGCACGGCTGCCCAGTTCTCCCTGCTCCATGTTCCAGCACCGACCAGCTGTGTGCTGACCCTTCTCTCTCCAGATTAAGGCTTCAGTGCGCTCCAGTTCTGCCGGCTGGAACTGATTCTTCCCTGTTACTGCCCCTGCTCTGACCCACTGCATCAGAAGTAACTAGTCTCCCAAAAGTAATTATAAGTACTGACAACAGAGGCGAGAAATGTGACGGTCAAGTGGAACAGGGGACTGGCTGGGTCTGAGAGTATGAGGCTTCCTTGGCCTGAGCGGTGGTTCAGGGGACAAGCAGCTCTACCAGGGTGGCAGGGGGATGTCTGCACCTGACACCCTTGGGGAGGGAGTGAAGTCGAAGGTAGGCCGACAGACAGGGGGAGCAGGGGGAAGGGAGCCGAGTTCTCAACAGGATGTGAGAGGTGATAAGCTAGACAGCGACCAAGGCCATGGTCAAACACAGGAGCTGCAGAAGAACTGTGGTCCTAGCCTAGGAGCACAGGTCATCCCCGTGCACACCAGAGACCCCCGGGGAGGAGGAAAGCAGTGAGCGAGTGTCTCGATGCACGCGGGCAGGCGGTGGGCAGACAGGTGGGCCTCAGGGGAGATGGCCCATGGCAGCGCCCTCGGTGCTGCCCTCGCCGTGGGCCTAGTATCACAGACGCACTTGTGAAGCGCCCGCCTGTGCCTTGAGATGAACTATGTCCATTCTCTAGGCAAGGGAATGGTGAGCAGAATTAAGTGGGAACTTAGATCTGTCTGCTTCCGCAGCTGTGGATTCCGTACCTCAAATCTAGAAACGAGGGGCAACCATGTCGCCCTCCTGTGACAAAGCCAACAGAGGATGGTGCTGGCACCACAGAGTGTGCCCGGTGGCAAATGGCTGGTGGGAGACCCCACGGGCTCCAACCCCCCCCAGAACATCCAAGACGGGAAAATAGACCTCCCTTCTATTTTTGGATGTCCTTTTTTTTTTCCTTCCAAAATTTTATAAGTAATTTTTTTTAATCCTCACCGAGGACATTTTTCCATTTTTTGTTCAGATAGAGTGGGAGAGAGAGAGAGAAACATCGACGTGAAAGGGACACATCGAGTGGCCGCCACCTCATGACCAACCAGGGACAAACTGCAACCCAGGTACGCGCCCTTAGTGGGAACTGAACCCGGGTGTCTCTGGACCGCAGGCTGATGCTCTAACCACTGAGGTAAACCAGCCAGGGCTATAAATAATTTAACCAATGGAAATTAAAGTCAATGAACTAACAACACATAAGGATAAGGGCCCCAAACGCAGTCAGTCTCCCTTACCATATTTTCTTCTAGTTCTGCCAAAGGCTTGTTGACGCTGTTGATAAACTTGTTGACATGCTCGAAGTGCTTTGTCATCTCTGTAGCCAAGACCATGTCAATAATAGTGTGGCGCAGTGTCCAGTAGTCATTCCTGTTTCAGATGACAAACGAGGCTGTTGAAACCACAAATCCAGACCAGACAGGTAGAGACTCCTGAAAACTATGTTATTTGGAATGTGTGTCTACTGTGGCTGAAGTTCTAATGTCACTTGAAGGTGCACTTTAAAAGAAGATGGAAGTGCCCTGGCCGGTTGGCTCGGAGGTTAGAGCGTCGGTCCAGAGAGTCCGGGTTTGGTTCCCACTAAGGGCACGTACCTCGGTAGCAGTTTGTCCCCAGCCCCAGTTGGGGTTGTGTGGGTGGCAGCTATTCAGTGTACCTCTCTCTTTCTCCCTCATGCTCTATCTGAAGATAAATGCAAAAAGGTCCTCGGGTGAGGATTTAAAAAAAAAGAATATCAAAGTTACAAAAGACATATGACACCAAGATCTGACAGAGCTTAAGAATTAAATCAGCCCTGGCTGGGAAGTTCCGATACAACCAAGGCTGCAGGGTCCATCCCTGGTCAGGACACACACACAAAAGTCAGCCGATGAATGCATAACTAAGTGGAACAACAAATCGATGTTTCTCTCTCCCTTCTAAAATCAATACATAAAAATTTTTAAAAATAATCAAATCACACAAATAATAAAAAATGGTTACTTAAAAATGTAATAAGTACTACAAAGGAACTTGAGACTGAATAATGAGTGTGAGGGGTCAGGAGAGCAGCGTGGACAGAGACGGTGAGAAATGTGCTGGGCACAGGAGAGCAGAGGGGAGTGCTCTATGCAGACGACAGGTTCTCTGAAGCTCTCAAAGCTCAAGATGTCGGCATTGTATGTCCTTGCCTTAAAGTGTCAAGACACAAAGGAATTATGCGCAATGAAAGAACCAGTCATAAAAGACCACATACTGGGTATGCTTCCATTTTTATGAAATGTCCAGAACTGGCAAATCTATGGAGAAAGAAAGCAGGTCAGTAGCCTAGGGCTGAAGGAACTGGGTGAGTGAAGGGTGGCTGCTAATGTGTGATATTTTGGGAGGGTGATGAAAATGTCCTAAAACTGATGGTGGTCAGGGCTGCACTACTCTGAATGAAGAGCACTGTACACTTTAAATGGGTGAAGAGTATAGTATGTGAAGTCATCTCAATAAAGCTGTTAAAAAAGAGACAGAGGGACCGACCCTTTCCCAGCTATCCCCACCTGGCCATGTGCTTGAAGATGTTGCACTTGTCATCGCCAGTGGTGAGCTGGAAGGCCAAGGCGGCGTGGTGGCTCTCCAGCACGGCGATGTCGTTGTACAGGATGGCCAGCTCGCTCCCGGCGTTGCACAGGAAGGCGCTGGTCCTCCCGGGGTGGTCCACGTCATGGATCGTGGCTGCAATGAGGGCAGCGGCCTCGTCGACGGAATCTAAAGTTTGCTGAAAACAAGAGGCCTTTTAAAAACGGGCCCTCTGAGAGCAGGGCCGCTGTGCACTTTCCTTTCGGCCCTATTGCTTTAAGGCAGGGGTGTTTCAGATTTCTGAGAAAAGTATTTCCGTTTAGTAAATCCAGCTTCCCTAGCTCTTCTGTGAGCATTGTATCTTTGCATGTCTTTAGGAAACATTACCAGATTGTCGGTCTCTCACAAGTTAAGGACTTACCAAAATACAGGGTGTCCTCAACACAGAAGAGTAAATGGCTGAATTGTATGATGTGAATTATCTTAGTAAATGCTGTTGAAATTGTTTTAAGTTAGCTTTCTGAATATCTATATTTGTATGTTACAAAGTAGTTCAGAAACAATAAATTACAGCAAAATCTTGGTCGTCTCTATATGCTGATCCGTATTGACACAGACATCTCGCCTGCCATGTTGTGCTTTTTCAATCAGTCCTTGCCCTTATTCTGTCTAAGTCTTGGGAATGATCTTTCTTTAAAAACAAAACAAAAACCCTGGAGGGAGCAAGGAAAAGACCCAGCTCTGAGGTTTGCCCCATAGGGAGGGGAACTAACATTTGCTCAGTATGTCCATGTTTTAGCCATGACCTCATCCTGCCCCTGACATCGGGGGGATAGGCCAGGGCCCTAAAACAGTAATAGCCAACATTTAGTTGGCTGTACTTGTAAATTCAGAATGACACCCCCAGAAACACAGCCCCCTCCTATTCCTACTGGCTTCCCCCCGGGGACACCTCCTGTTCTTCGTACTCCCACAGGCTGGCTGGGCTCATGTCCTGAATGAACGTAACTCCCAGCGCCATGCCTGGGCCAGGCCACACACGTGGGGGCACTCGGAGCAGTCGCGCTCACTGTGCGGCACCTTGGCGAGGGCGGAAACGCAGCTCACCTTTACCCTTTCTCTGCAGAGGAAGTAGGCAGTGGCGTGAAGCACGTCGGCAGCATGCGTAGAATTGTGGTAGGGGTTAGAAGAATGGTAATGGGCTTCAATAATTTGTAACCATGATCTCAGTGTTGTTTCGGAGCAGTTTAAGAATTCACAGATTCCAAAGCGAGCAAAGATTTTGAGACCGAGATAAATTAAAGGCCTGTAAGGAAAAACATTCATAGCATTAAAGCAAAGTAACAGGCAAGGTGGAGCCCCGAACAGGTTCAGCTCCACAAGCAAACCCGAGGCAGACTTCAGAGAGTGCGGGTGGCAAGGTGGTGCTTGCGCCTCCCTTTCTCTTGGGAGCCAGCACCCCGACTGGCTGGAGCCCGTTCTAGTTCTGATGTCAGAGCTCCTGTCTACTGCTCCTCACTGGCTGAGGGTTCAGACTCCTGCTTCTGGCCAAGCTAAACTTGTGCCTGAAGAGAGTAACAGTTTCTAATGACTGCACATGAGCAAGACACTGTCACAGGCCATGTGATGGTCTCGACAATCTGGAGGTGGGGGTTGGATATGAGGAGGTCCCCCCTTGGAAGGTGACCAACCAGCCACCAAGTCCACGACCTGGCTGTTGGCTTGGAAGTCAAGAGATTTGGCTCTGTTGAGGCGGTATCCACAGGGATCAGGCTCACAGAACTTGAATGGACCTGCCCTGATTCACGTAAATGCCTTGTCACTACTATTTCAACCAGGAGCTCAAAGATTTGTCTGCATGGGCCCTGGCCGGTTTGGTTCAGCGGTTAGAATGTCAGCCAGCAGACCAGAGAGTCCCGGGTTCAGTTCCTGCTAAGAGCACGTACCTCGGTTTCAGTTTGTCCCCAGCCCCTGCTGGGGTCGTGTAGGCGGCGACCACTCAATGTGTCTCTTTCGCACTGATGTTTCTCTCTCCCCCTCCCTCCCACTCTAACTGAAGATAAATGCAAAAATGTCCTTGGGTGAGGATAAAAAAAAAAGATTTGTCTGCATGGGGTATTTTTTCCCCACGGTCTTTGCCCATGCCAGGGACATGGGAGTAGAATGTACCAGAAGGCTGACTCATGGTGCACATGAGCAAGGGCCGGGCTACCTTTGGGACAGTTCTCCCAGATTGGGATGAGACCTGATGAATTACCCCACGGTGATCCCAAGCGAGCACACCTCTGCTGTCCACAGTACAACCGTCCATGCTCAAGGGCAGTCTGACCAGTGTCAGCTCCGGAACATCCCTCTCCTTTGTGCCAAGTCAGCCGCTCCCCTTGGTTGACAGTTCTTTTCCAGCAAGATACAATATTAAAGGTATAATCCACTCCTCCCCACGTCTGCAGGACACCCAGTCCAGGATGACTCGAGTTTTGGGTGTCCCCATGCCTGTTACCCACACAGCAGCCGAGATCTGGGGAGAGCTCTTCTTAAATGTGTTGGTATGTTTGTAATTTTTCGTTCTAGGTTCTGAGTGGGGCTCTTTGCTGCTATCTCAACATATTACTACCTACAGGAGAAATCAATATCTGTATTTTACAGGAAAAAACTCCCCTGCTATTTGGAGACACTTGCTCAATTTCATGCTTCCATGAGTCTACTGTCTCCTCGGGTGGTGACCAGGCAGACTCTTCCCCTGGCTTCTTATGGGTTCCCTCCCTGGGGCCTCGGCCCTGGTGAGTCAGGGGCACTTGCTGCTCTTACTCTTTCCTGAGCCTCCTCCCCAGGGGCCAGGGACCAGGGACCAGGGACCGCCACAGTCCTCGGGTGGCTTTCTGCACACAGGCCGCTGGCATCGAGCTCCTGCTGAGCTTCATGTGAACTCACCTCTTCTGAGTGGCTGCCTCCAGCTCAAAAATGTCAAAGTCCCAGTAGTCCTCGTGTTCCATGGCCTGAGCTATCTGCAGTGGGACGTCGTGAAGGGATATGGGGGTGGCTGCATTGCTCGGAACTTGAAGGTCTGGAGAGAGATGTAATTTGGAGAACAGCATTAACACTTTATGGTATTAACTGTTCCTGAGGGAGGACAGTGATTAGTTTCTGAGGTTTTACGACATATCAAGAAACTGCTTATAGATGAGAAAAACAATTTGAAAAATTTTCTCAAATGTATTTTCATCACTTAAGCTTGATTATGTTACTAGTGATCCAAAAAATTAAAAAGAAAAACTTACTTTTTGTTGAAAGAGCATGTTCATTCCCAGATAGTCTTCGCAAACCATCCTGATAAAAATCAAGGACACAAGAAAAAGAAGTCACAGCTATTCTTTACATCTCGATGACCCCAAGGCAGTGGGTCCGAGAGGATAGTTAAGGGCCACACTCTCCATCATGCACCCCAAGGATGCCTTGTCCCTTCCTGGGGAGCAGGGAGAGCAGCTTGAGAGAGGACCCAAGGCCCAACATTCTTGCTGGGACAACGCCCTCCGCCCTCTCCCCTTCCCTCCCTTTTCCGGCCACCCTCCTCACCCTAACGGACACCAGGCTTCCGTGTCCTCTGGAAGCCCAGCTCTTCCTTGCCCTCTGAGCACCTTCACTCTGCCCAGCAGCATCTGGGGTGACAGCTGCCCCCAGACCGCTGCCCCCTTTCTACCCTTCGGTAGAAACTCCCCTGCCGCTCTTCTCCTCGCCCCGGGACACTCCCGCCTGTCCCACGTTATTCTCACCCTCACCTACAGGACCTCTGTCTCCATAGTTAGATATCAGCGTCACTGGGAACCACACTACCCTTTCTGAAGTCTTAATACCTTAACAATTAGGTTTTAGGCAGGCACCAGAATCTGCCTACAACCTAATTTTCAAGACATCAAGTTACATCAGAAATTGGGAACTGGGAGGGAAGGCGAATTTTATTTCTGACCAACACAAAGATGACAGAAAGCATTGGATTGATGTGTTTCCCACAGAGCTGTTGTTGCCTTGTTGGACCTCTGTACTAGATGGGCTGGAAGAGGCAGCTAGGACCCTCAAGAGCCCACGGCACAAAGCCCCCTCTAACGAAATGACTCCCGAGCCCTTCTCCCCCATCAAGTCACCGAATCTGTGTAGGATGTGTGGATGGGAACTAGGCCCCATCTCCTAGGGGCCTCTTTAAACATATATATTCTTTTTGTTTCAATACAATATTGAGCATTTCATTTTTTTTTTTTTTCCTTCCCCCATTTTCAAAATCTTTAAATCATGTTACCTAAGCAAAAATGGAGCCCTGGCTCAGCAGACTTCTAGAACATGCTCCTCCCTCTCTGCTCCAAGCTGAGGTCCCCGGGTGGGAGGCAGCAGGTGGACAATGGCTCTGGACAGAGCAGCCAAGCCCGGCGATGGAAGGGGTGAGGCCTGGACTAAGCCCAAGGACAAGTACCCGGAGACAAACAGAAACAGCAGGCTCCAGCCAGCGGCCTGGTCAATACACTTACAGACATCAGGCCCCCAACGAGGTCACTGCCGTGAGGATCATCATCCTTAGCACCGAACTGTGGTGAGTATAATTCGGAGGTTCTTAGAATCTCCAGCACACGGTCTAAGGCTTCTGTCACGGAAACGGGGCCGTTTTCCTGGGCAGCGTTGATGATATTGATCACCTGCAACATGCAGAGAAGAGCTGCGTCTCATAACCGCACGAGCCAGGAAAGCAGCCTGGGGGGCGGGCTGCAGCGGGCTCAAGGCCACCCCGAGACTTGCGAGCTGTGCATGTCGCACGCCCTCTCCTCAGAGGACGCAGCTGCACAGACTTGGAGAGTGTGGTAATGACTGTGGTCCCTATTTCTTCTCGTTGGAAACAATCGACTGGGAGAACAAGGGATGTCCCTGCGCAGTGGAGACCGACCACCAACTGCCTCACCTTGTTGATGGGCGCCTCAATGGTCATAGAATGTATCCGGGCCATGGAGGAGTGTCGTCTCTGGCTAGACACTGTGGGGAGATGACACGAGCAGAGATCAGGGCAGGCACAGCCTCATGCACCTGTTCAGCCAGGGCTCCAAGGCCTCAGTGTGCCCAGCTACACAATGAGGGGGTGGAACCAGAACGACCCGGGTCGCTGAGCTTCTTCCCATCCTGACAAGCCAAGTCTGCTTCCTTCGGTTCTAGGCACTAGGATGCATTTGCCCCCCAAGACTGAACTTCTGATGTCAGAGAGAAAACAGGAAACAATCTAGCACGCCAAGGCCGAACAGCCTCTTTTTGTATTTATAATAATGAGGCTTTATCACTGTTCAGCTTGCTGCTGTCCAGGAGTAAGAATGCTCTGGAAGACAATGCCACACAGGCTCTTTGTGTCATACACGGCAGGAGCTATAAATACAATTCACCATCAACTGAAATACACGACTTTCAGGTGACAGTTTTCAATGCATCCTTTGGTGTTTTCCACTGTTAATGCTTCATCTTGACTAATTAGGTAAATACCTTAACAGAGGCAAGTACAATTCCTAGGCTCTAGAGTTTTTCTTTTTCAATCCTCACCCGAGGACATTTTTCCATTTTTTGTTCAGATAGAGTGGGAGGGGGAGAGAGAGAGAGAAACATCGATGTGAAAGGGACACATCGAGTGGCTGCCACCCGCACGACCAACCAGGGCCGGGGACAAACTGCAACCGAGGTACATGCCCTTAGCGGGAACCGAACCCGGGTCTCTCTGGACCGCAGGCCGACACTCTAACCGCCGAGCCAAACCGGCCAGGGCTCTAAAGTTTATTTTTTGTTGGTCCTGCAAGAGGTGGTCCTTCCTTCGGGTGGTGGGGGGGAGCCTAGGCACAGTCAGGAGGGGTGTCCACACGGAGTTCTGTGTGTCTCCTGTGAGCCCCCGTCAGGCCAGACGCTCTCGACTAGCAAAGGGTCACGGAGTGTCCCACAGCCTCACCTTACCAACGCGAGGCCCAAGGAGAAACACGGTGGGACAGACCAGCTCAGGGGCTCTCAAAGCTTCAAATGCAGGCGACCAACAAAACTCAATCTAAACTTTCCCAACATAGTCATTAAAAAAATAAAAACCACTCTTTATCACGATGCCATAAAAGGTCTTGTTCTCATGAAAAAATATGATAGTGACATATGCTTACAAAAACCAAACGATACAAGGGCAATACACAAGTCAACTGTAATTTTGTATGCTAGCAACAATTGAAAAATTAAATAAATAACACTATCACAACATGAAAGAACTTCAATATTTAGGAATACATCTAATGAAAGATTTTAAGATTTATACACTGAAAATGTAAAACATTGCTGAGAGAAAATAAAGATAAGCTACAGAGACATAGAGCATTTCATGATCTGAAAGACTCGGCATTATTGTGATTTCAGTTTTCCCCAAATTGATCTTCAGATTCAAAAACACTCCTAGATAAAATTCAGGAGATGGTGGATGTGTGTGTGAGCTAACAAGCTGATTGTAAATGTTTTACAGAAATGCAGAGAATCTAGAATAGCCACTGCCAGGTATCAAGACTTCCTATAAGGCTATAGTGATCACTGATGGCAATGGTACAGGCACAGGCTAGCAGACAATGACAGACAATCCAGAAACTGACCATATATATATAATCACCTGATTTACCAATAATGGTGCTACTACAAAAGATTCTTTTTTTTTAACCCTCACTGAGGACTTTTTTTTTTCCATTTTTGTTCAGATAGTGTGGGAGGGAGGGAGGGAGAGAAACATCAACGTGAAAGGGACACATCGAGTGGCCGCCACCCGCACGACCCAACCAGGGCCGGGGACAAACTGCAACCGAGGTACATGCCCTTAGCGGGAACCGAACCCGGGTCTCTGGACTGCAGGCCGACGCTCTAACTGCTGAGCCAAACAGGCCAGAGCAAAAGATGTTTTGTTTTTTTTTTCAATACAGTGATGGCCAACCAGATTTGCATGTTGGGGTAATATTCATCCTTGATCTCTATCCTCGCCTGATTAAAAAATCCTATGAAATGGATCACAGACCTAAAGTGAAAAAAAGGCTTTAAGAAGAAAACATGGGAGAATATTTATGACCTTGGATCAATAAAAATTTCTTAAACAGGACACAAAAATACTAGCTATAAAAGAAAACAATGATAAAATGAACTTTGTTAAAATTAAGAACCTCTGTTCATTAAAAGATCACTAAAAGAGTGAAAAGGCAGACCACACACAAAATATTTTTGCTATATACATCTAATACTGGCCCCATATCTAGACTATATTAAGAATTCCTAAAGAAACAGATGAACCACCCAATTATAAAAATGGGCAAAATATTTGAACAGCACTTCACAAAACAGGATATCCAAATGACTAATAAGCCTATGAAAGGGGTACTCAACCTCATTAATCAGCAGAAAAATTAGAATCACATCTACCAGAATGGCGAAGAGGAACATGATACAACCCATGTTGGCGCTGTCTGCAGCTGCCCAAGGGCCTAGCAAACACACGTCCACAAATTAGTAACAGCACAAGGTGGAAAGCCTGTTCGCAGAGTGGGTGAACCATGTGGCACACTCACATACTAGAGCACTAGTAAGTGATAAGGAATAAACTACGGACGCACCCAACAACATGTATGAGTCTCAAAGCCAGACCCAAAGAATGCACACTGTACGATTCCATTTCTAGGAAGCACAGAGGCCAAATGAATTTACAGTGCTAGAAATCAGTGGCTGCCTCTGTGGTAAAGGGTTGTGTGTGTGTGTGTAAATGTGAATATTTTCTGTATCTGTATTGGGTAGTGGTTACACAAGTGTAGAGAACTGTAAAACTCATTGGACCTATTTGTGGAATATAATGAACAAAAAAGCTGATAACCAAAACACCCAGAGACATAAAGGAGGGGGGGGTGGGGAGAAATGAGATAAACCAAAGAGCTTACATGTACATATGTATAACCAACGGACATAGACAACAATGCGGGGGGGGGGGGGGTGTCTAGGGGGGAAAAAGGAGAAACATCTGTAACAAAAATAAATTAATAAAAATTGCAAAGCCCTGGCTGGTTTTGCTCAGTGGTTGGAGCGTCGGCCCATGGACCAGAGAGTCCCAGGTTCAGTTCCTGCTAAGGGCACGTACCTTAGTTGCAGTTTGTCCCCAGCCCCTGTGGGATCGTGTGGGTGGCAGCCAGTCAATGCGTCTCTCTCTCTCTCTCCTGCTCTATCTGAGGATAAATGCAAAGATGTCCTCGGGTGAGGATAAAAAAAAGAAACAACACAGACTCATTGGGCCGAGCACTCAGTATCTAAACTTTATTATATGTAAATTACAACTCAAAAAGAACAGTGGTTAAAAAGCCAAAAATATCAAAAGAAAAATGTTTAAAATGGACCAAGTCCTCCAAAAAATGAAGAGAAGTTAGATGCCTGGCCGGTGTGGCTCAGTAGTTGAGCGCTGACCCATGCACCAAAAGGTCGCCAGTTTGATACCCGGTCAGGGAGCATGCCCAGGTTGTGGGCCCAAATCCCGGGGGGCGGGGGGCATGCAGGAAACAACCAACTGATGTTCTTTCTCATCCATGTTTCTCTCTCTCCCCCTCTCCCTTCCTCCCTTTCTCAAATCAATAAAGAAAAGAAATTTTTTAAAAGAGAAGCTGGAGTGTGGAGTGAAGGCGGCTGTGTGCAGAGGATCACGGGGCTGTAACAGTGACAGCGACGATGATGATGGCGGCTACCTCTTCCCTTACCGGGCACCGCACACTCATGCAATCCTTACACACTCCTCTGTGGACAGCTTCATCATTCCCACTTTACAACAAGGAAGTGGAAGCACTAAGTGTATCCCCAAGTTCGCACAGGAAGTCGATGATGCTGGGATCTGCATAGTCCTTCCAGGGCAGGGACACCCGGCACGTCTGATCCTCACAGGAACCCTGGGAGGGGTGTGAGCGCAGCACTGGAGCCCCGCCCGCTGTATAATCTGAGTTGCTGCTAACCTGGGAAGTTTTGGTTTTTCATCTAGTAACTACTCCATATGCTTCCCAGTTCATCTCTGGGTCAAATAAAGGACACAGCTAGCACTCTATAAATAATTCTCAATACATTTTTAAACTACTAAATCACTCAGGCTACACATCTACATAATCTTTAAAAATTATATGCCAATTAGAACTTAAATAATATTTGCTTAATAAGTCACATGCCAAAATACAGCTCACCTCCCCACCAAAAAGGAAGCATGTGGCAAACTGCAACCCACAATGAAATACGTAAGACCTCACTTAACACCACTGAGAGATTCTTGGAAGCTTTTTAGCAAAGTGACATCTAAAGAAACCATTTTTACCCTAGGCTAATTGATATAAATAAGAGTTGAATTCCTACAACACATTTCTGGTCATAAAAACATCACCAAACTTCTAAATAAAATCCCCAAACACTTCTAATATTAAACACTGCAATAAGTGAGAGCTCTATGCACATTTAAGGAAAGTTAATAAAAACAAATGAGATTATTACTTGTTAACCCACTTATTCCAGTTCAGGGTCAAGGGTGGCCACAGCCTTCCCTGCCAGCTAAGGGCAGTCAGGACCCCCACCCCCACCCGGACTGGGACGGGTTAAACGCACCACTTCACCTCGTATGCACATCTTCAGAACACGGGAGGAAACCAGAGGACCGGGAGAGAGCCCACGCAGACATGGGAGAACTGGCGCACTCCACACAGACAGTGACCCCGCCCATCAACACTGAACAATGTTGTTCCAGGCCCTGCTGTATATTGTTAAGAATCTCCAAAGACACTACTTGTACGGTTACAGCAGATAAAACTGACACCTGCTGTTCCATTTGAGGACTCGATGTCAGAACAGACAGGAAACTGCCTGAGCTTTCCTCCATGGCTGCATCAGGGGGCTCAGTGCGGAGCCCGCTGGCAGAAGTCAGAGGAGGAGAATGACACAGGGTGCTGGAAGGTCCCCTCCCTGTGCTGACCTGGAGATGGGCAGTGACCCAGAGGAAAGGTAGGGAGGAAGCATCAGGTCCGCGTATGTTCCACACGAGGTAACATCTCCTCTTGTTTTGGGGACCTACCTTCACTTGTTCGAGAGGAAACAGTTCTGACATCTAGCGAACTTTTTCTGTTGTCTTTATGTTTGCCTGACTGATTATCTGTGGAAACAAATTATAAATCATCTCACCAAAGGAATGTTAACACCATTAGAAAAATTACCAATCTAAAAATGTTTAAAACAAAATTTAAGAATTAGAATACCATTTAAGTTGCCACAGAAATCAACACAGTGCAGAGAGAAGACTATAAAGATGAGGTTTTCAAGGCTGACTTTCTCAGGTGTCCCACATGACACAACCAAACAAGTGCTTTCCAGACAGAATTAGAGTCCCAGGACGTGAAGTAAGAATGAGTAGGAGGAACTCAGGAGAGCAACTCCTGTTACACTATATAACTGAGTAAAATGAAAAAATTTTGATCCCCATCCACACTTGCCCCAAAAGAAAAAAATCTCTTCTGTATTTTTTCCTATAACAGCAGCTCTACAATGTCCGGGGAAGAACGTGCCTCTCGCCAGGGGTCATGCAGGGAACACGGGTTGGGCCCGTCAAATGACAGCCCATCTCTCTCCCTGACCCGCGTTCTGTGAACAGCGCCACTCTCTTCCGGCTCCAAATGGGTTGCCCCACCTCTCCCCGACCCCACACTGATCGACCACAAGGCAAAGTTAACTGCTGTTCCCTCCTGCGCCCTGCTGGGTGCCATACACGGTGCTGAGCCTCTCCGACCTGTCCCCATTCCACAGGCAGGGAAACGGGGGGCTGCACCGGGCTCAGGCCTTCCACGCGCAGGGCGCGCTCCCTGGCCTGTCTCGGCTCCCTCGGCTGGGGCCCTGCTGACAGCCAGCGTCTGGATGCAGGCCCTGGCATCCCGCCGGAGACACTTCTTCACCTGCTGTTTGCTGTACTCTCTTCTACACGGGCACTGACCATGAACTTGTCAGGGTCGCTGCTAACTTCTGTGTCACTACATCTGAAGGACACAGACTCTTACCCGACTGGACCTGTGGTACCGGACACAGCTTCCATCACTCTTTCTAGAACGGGTGAGCACAAGCCCACACTCCCGGTTTCCCTCCCATCTCTTCCTCGTTTCCTGCGTGGCTCCCCTTCCTTAAACAGCCCAGCCTTCATGTTCCCAAGTGTCTGTCCTTAGCCGTTCTTCTCTTAGAAAACAGTCTCCTTGGGAGATCCCACCCTTCCTTCAGCTTTGAGTAATTCTTGTACTGCTGTCTTATCCTGAGCTCCCGAGCTCCAGACTTACATCTTAACTGGCCACCGGTCACCTCCATTTGAGCACCTCATGCACTTAAAATGAACTTGTTACCTTCTCCCAAACCCATGCTTTTTCCCAGGTCACTGAGCAGCATCTATCTATTTTTTTTTTTTTTTTAAATCCTCACCCAGGGATATTTTTCCATTTATCTTCAGATAGAATGGGAGGGAGAGAGAGAGAAAGAGAAACACTGATGTGAGAGAGACACATCAACTGCTTGCCTCCCACATGATCCCGACCAGGGCTGGGGTCTGAACCGCAACCAAGGTACATGCCCTTGACTGGAATCAAACCTGCAACTCTTTGGTCCGAGGGCCAGCACTCTAACTGCTGAGCCAAACTGACCGGGGCAGCACCTACCTTTTTGCTTTAGTTGGAGACAAGTCTTCATCCATGACTCCTCCCCACTACTCCCTTCTCCCTCCACTGGTCAGCTGAATCTATGGATTCGATCTCCTAAATACCTCTCTAATCTGCCTGTCCTAGCTCAGAAACACATCATCCCCCCGGATTATAATGGCAACTCCCTTCACTGGTCCCACAGCCTCAATGGAGACATTTCAATGGCTCATCCTTGTTTTTAGGATATGATTTAAGCTCCTCAGTGTCACCCAGGGTCCTGTGATCTCTGAACCCCTCTCTTCAGCCATCATGGACTAATGATGTGCTGGTTCACCTCCCAACCTCTGCCTTGACACAGACTGCTCACCTCCACTTGGGAGTGTACATCTCCCATGCTACCTTCTTCACCTGGTGAACTGTCAGTCTTCTTCAAAGATGCAGCACAGGTACCACAACCCTAGGGGTATCTTCCGCTAATGCCCCACAACCCCACCCAACACTGCCAGTAACCACCTGCTTCCTCACCAGCTGTGAATGACATGAGAGCAGAAAAGTCTTCCTTCTCCTTTCTAGGTGACCAGCAGCGCCCAGCATATAACGTGCTCAGTAGACACGTCTGCTTGTCCCAACACCTGCACAGTCCTGAAAGCACCTCTAATGTATCCCCTCGCCTCCTGGCTCCCTCACACAGAACCCTTGGGCAGCTTAGAGGGAGAGTCACTTGCTGCAGTCAAGGACGGGAACGGTCTGCTTGCAACAGCCTGCCTTTCCTCGCTCCCTGGTCTTGACCACACGTGGGCTGTCAGCCAGCTGCTCTCCCTCTGCCTCGGGAACAGCCTTGACATCTGCTTCTGCCCCAACACAGAACACTGCGTCCTCTCCAAATGCTCGCTCCTTTACATCACCCTCCTCTCAACCGCACAGACCCGTGGGTCCCCTTCCTCAGCGTCGTGGAGATTCATGTCCACAGCTCTCTGCAAGCCTGCGCTGTGAACTTGACTATTCCTTCATTCCTCTTCCTTTGTCCATCAGCACACACTTACTGGGCACCATGTGTCAGCCCTAAGCCAGGCACTGGGATGTAAAGGGGAAAAGGTATGGTTGAGGGACCAAAGGCGGGAACCTCAGAGTTACAGCCGTAATTCTGGAGCAGAGAAGCAGCCCCAAGAAGGAAGTGGCAGGTTCTCTTCGGGGGAAGGGGCAGAGAGGAGGTGAGCCAGGAGAAAAGGAACCGGCCTGTGCAGGCAGAGCCAGGTGTGGAGGGAGAAGCCAGCAGCATGTGTACCGGACAGGCCATGGCAAGAGTGGAGGGAGATGGAACAGGCTTTCATTTCTACTTCACATTTTAAAGTGACCTTCTCTCCCTCCATGATGCTCCCTTCCTGTCCTGACCTCTGGTTCTGCTCCACTGCTACCATCACCATCCCTGGGAAGCACCCCTACATGCGGTAGCACAAAGTGCAGCGTGCAGAGCAGCGCACACCACATTCACGTCTGTGTGCCTGACGCCGGGCTTAGGGCCTGGTCCAGACCAACCCAAGGTTTACAGACCAGACACTTGTCACACAGAGTGTCCTTGGTGAGACAGTATCATGGGGAAACGACATACAGGACAGTTAAAAGGGGACATATGCTAGGAATCTGCTACTTTCCTGGACACCCAGAATCTGAGCCCCTTTTCTTGTGACTCCCACCACAGAAGGGGGAGGCCAGACCCCTCTGTTCTACCCCCTCAGGAAGCAGCCGAGAGCCTGCATCAGGCGAGTGAGGCCGTGAAGAAGCCCTTCCGCCCACAGTGGGCGCAGCAGCACCAGTGCCGGGGCCTCCGCGGAGCCCGGGCGGCCAGCAGTGGCCCCACCACACTCCCATGGCGGCAGGGACAGGTGCCCAGTTTGGTCCCTGACCTTCTCAGAACGGGTCTTCCGCTTTCTGGTCCAACCTGTGAGACACCCCTTTCCTTCTAATAAACTCCCTTTCTGCTTCAGAACTGATCCCTGTGGTGTGACCAAGGACCCCGGCTGGTACATTGCCTCCAACTCCGCCACCCTCCCAAGGCAAGACAGTCGGCTGAGTCTGTGGGACACAAAGCTGCTTAGGTGCGGAGGGGACAGCAGCTGGACAGCCAGCCAGCTCATCCAGGTGAGGTGAGCAAGAGCCCTCAGCGGGCATGATCTAGTGAAATGACAAATGACCCAGCACAAATGCGGCTTGAGAGATTCCTCCCCAGCTGCACGTCTTCTATGACTATGTCACTGATTCTGCCTTCTAGTCCCAGCTCTGTCATATCCTGGCTGCCTGACTCTAGGCTGTCATTTAACCGTTGTGCTAATAATAGCTATGCTGCCCTGGCCAGTTTGGCTCAGCGGTTAGAACGCTGGCCCGTGGACGAGAAAGTCCCAAGTTCGGTTCCCACTAAGGGCACATAACTCAGATGAAATTTGTCCTCAGCCCTGGTTGGGGTCGTGTGGGTGGCAAACACTTGATGTGTCTCTCTCATGTCAATGTTTCTCTCTCTTATTCCCTCTCTCCTTCCCACTCTATCTGAAGATAAATGCAAAAATGCCCTCGGGTGAGGATAAAAAATAATAATAGCCATGCCTACTTCACAGGACTATTCCAAATACTTTTAAAAATCCAAGCAAAGGTACTCCCTGACCTTGTGACGTGAGGGTTACGGTCATGCTGGCCCTGTGTTGGCAGCTCCCACTCCTGCCTCCTCAGCCCGTCCTCACCTCTCCCCTGAACCCGCACGTCTCCACGTCATGGATGAGCTCCTGGCTCTGCACCCCCCTCTGTGCACTTCAGCCCTGGCTCAGGGCCACCCACCAGGTCCTGCTCCCTCTGACCCGATGCAGGTGGTCTCCAGAAACCTGCCTTCTCCCCGCCTTTTCCTGCCCTCTCTTCCTGGGTCACCTCAGAATCTGCACCCCCTTCGCCGCCCCTGCTCAATCTCCTCAGTTCCACATCTGAGCTACTTGCCGATGCTTTGCTGGCAGCAAACCCTACCTCCCCAGCCCTCTCCTCTCCGAGAACAGAAACAAGGGCGTGGTGCCCAGCAGGCACTGGACAGAAATCTGTGGAATGAATGAGCAGACAAGTGAACAGACCCAGGGCCTCGCCAGGAATGCCTTCCACATTCACCTGCCCGTCAGATCGCGACCCCTCAATGTCCAGGCCTCACGACTACCTTCCAACTGTTCTTTCTTGTTCTCCTCGCTCTGGTCCCACACCACCTTCCCATCTGCCTCCCTTGTCTTCCTGTTGTCGTCACCCGATTACGGCCGGGCTGTTGTTTCCTCTGCTGAGACTATGGCGATACTGGCATTCTGTCTCTGGTCCCGCCGTCCACACAGTGTGTGTCACACTCATGCTCCAAGAGCTGCCTAGAGTTCGGGCGCCAAGCTGCTCCCTGGCTCAGCACAGTCCGGCTCCCGCTGCCTAGGTGGAAACCCTCATTTCTTATCTAGCATCCAGGGATCCTTCGTAAGCCAATTCCCCTCTCCACACTGACCCTTCATACCCGTTACATTGAATCCTTGCTCTTTCTGAAACACACTCTGAACTTTTCCTCCTCTGTGCCTGTTTTTATTTCTGGAATGCTTTTCCTTCCATACCCTCTTCTTTAAAAATTTTTTTAAATTGATTTTGAGAGAGAGAGAAAGGGAGAGGGAGGAAGAGGGTGGAAGGGAAAAGGAGATAGAAATATGTTTGTTGCTCCACTCACTGATGCATTCATTGGTTGATTCTTCTATGTGCCCTGAGGATCGAACCCACAACCTTGGTTTATTGGGATGATGCTCTGACCAACTGAGCTCCTGGCTAGGGCTCCACACCCTCTTCTTCAAATCCACCTGCCCCTTTCTGGAACTTTTCCCTCTTCCTCCGAGGCACCACGGCACCCCTGGTCCTTTCTCGCCCAGTACTGATCATTTCTTAGCACTTGCTATGTGTCCCTTGGCATCATCTCTCTCCTTTTCCCACGAAAGCCCGGAGTGCCCCTGGGGCGCCCACAGAACAGGTCCAGCGTGCGCTCAAGGCTTCTGAGCCGAGTGCCGGCTTCACCCCTTCTTAGATGGAGATCCTTGGGCAAATCAGTTACCCTTTCAGTTTCCTTATCTGTAGAAAGGGAACTTCATCTATAAAATGTCTACCCACTGGGGTACTACCCGGCTTCAAGTCAGCACACTTAGCACAGTGCCTTGTATACAATAATTGCGCAGAAAACACAGGGGTAATATTCCCAGAAGGAATGAATGAACTGTCTGGTGCTGTGGAAAGCACGCCTCCAACAGCTGAAGGAATGGAAGACAGAGTCTTCTCCCTGAATCATTTGCAGTAACACAGAGGAGCAGATGGTGTCCAAGGCACAGGAGACAAATACCAGGTAAAGCAAGTATGGAGGTGTCCGCTCCCCCTGCCCCCGTAGGCTGGCAGTGACTACTGTCAGGGGTGAACGTGTCCCTGCTAACGTGCTGCAGTCTGACGCCCAGCACTCCTGCCCCTAAAGTATGGAGGTGTCCGACCCCGCCTCCCGTAGGCTGGCAGTGACTGCTGTCAGGGGTGAACGTGTCCCTGCTAACGTGCTGCAGTCTGACACCCAGCACTCCTGCCCCGAAAGCACAGGTCGAGCCAGCAAACCACACTTCACTCAGCACATTTCCACACTGATTCATGCATGTGAGGGGCCAGTTTCTCCCCACAGGACACCTGTCAGAGTGCCCTCAAGCGCCCTGGTTCTGGGGAGCTGGGGAGGAGAATGCTGCATGGTCCCAGGACGCATTGTCCCACCAATGCAGCAGGCAAGCTAGTCAGACTAAGGGTCTATTTTTACTTTATTTTCTTCAAACGCTCAATAAGCCCTAAGAATGAATATGGGGCACCATACCTGTGTGAGTGTCACACTGAACACATTCAGTTATTTTCTCAGCCTAAAAGTAAATGTTAAAAGCCGTTAGTCATGATTGCCTAGGGAGGGAATGAGGGTGATCTGCTTGGGCGCAGCCGGGGTCCCCGGGGTCCCCAGGGGTCCCTTACATACCTTATCGTTGCACACTCTGATAATGGATACATAGTGTCTAATTTTTCTGCAAGGAGAAAACAATGCATTATTTCTCTCCCAGCTCTCTATGCTGATGAATATGTAGCTATTTTTTTTCATTATGAAAAGAACATCTCTCTTCAACAATACACAAAGTGCTTTGAGAAAAGTACTTCTATGGTTTACCGCCAAGACCACCAATAAACAAGTCTATACAAACACCCTTTTGTATCTGCGGTAAGGTGTCTGTGGAAGGGAATTTGACTCTTCAGTAAAAACAACAAAATTCTAAGTCATTATAACATACAATTAAAAATATCCATGTTTTTAAAAAATGTACTGCATGTTAACCAACCAAAAGCCTGTAATCTCTCAATGTGTCTCACTTCCCCCATATTGATGCTCTTAGGTTCCCATAGCGACCTGGTCAGTCACTCATGGAAACAGAGGCCGCACTGAGGGCTTCCGATAGCTGGGGGTCGACGGCAAAGCAACTAGAGCTGCTGACTCCTCACTTATCGTTCCTCCCACTTTTTTTTCGGTTTTTCACCTTGATAATCAAATCTTTGTATACTTAACACAAAATAATTTGGAAAGGACATGAAAAGGCAAAGAATCAGAACAGAAGCCCACACAGACCCGTTTCCCTGAGGCCACTGCCAACTGGCAGCAAAGCCCAGTGACCAAGCACATGACCGTGCAGTCAGCACAGAGGCCTCAGCCTGGCTCCACCAAGTGCTGCAGCCAGACCTGGGGCCAGGAACCTCAGCCCCAGCCTCAGTGTCCCGATCTGGACTGGAGATGTCACAGCACACGGGCTGTAGTCGGGACGAGACGAAGTGAGTCTAGCAGCTCTGGGAGTTGAGCAGCAGCAGGTGTGAAGACCACCACGGTCACACCTCCTCCTGTTCGGTTTTCTTCTTTCATTTTCGTGACTGGGATCATACACTAAGTATGATTTTACATTTTTACTTTTGCTTTTATTGTAAGTATTTTCCTTGTAATTTACTTTTCCACCATCATTTCTAATGGTTACATTTTATTGTTGGGTATTCTATAACATATTGATACTTTTCCATTGTTCCTATTACTTGAGATGGATTTTAAGACAAACCAGAGGAGATTTTTAGACTCCTGATATATACTGCTTTCCAATCTGTAATCACATCTGTTTTACATGAGTTTCCATAAACAGTAGTATTAAAAATATTTTTATTTGAGAGGTCTATGCAGCAATAACACACAGGCTATCAGATGAGATAGAAATCTTTTAAGTGTGGGGAGTCCACCAGTCAGTATTCTTGTCACACAGCTTATTAAGGTGACATTCTAACTTCAGTACGTTAGTTTCCTGTGTGTCTGTGCAGCACAAGCAAGAGGGTCCGAGTCTGGTGGCGCTGAGTCGCCAGGGGAGGGTCAGGCTGCAGGCATAAGGAGGCCACCCTGGAAGCCAGTCTTGGATGACACCTCACCTATTACAAGTCTTTCTTCCAAATTTCTGTATGCAGTTCTTAACTTACTTAAGTATTCGGACACATTTTACAATAAGCCAAACACAGTATGTTGAATGAAGTACTTGTTTTTTCCACTTACCCTCCCTGTCCAATGACAGGTATTATCTTCACACTTTGTTGCACATTATCTCCATTTTTGGCGTAGTAAATTCCGTGCCACTCCTATAAATGTAACGTAAGCATCATCATACTTTATGTTCAAAACACATCACAAGAACATTTTCCACTCCAGGTTCCAATTCATTTCCAATTGCTAAAGTAATAAGCATAAAAATAATCCCAACCTCAAATTTTGGGTAATCTGAAAATTCTTCCTCTGCCTCCCAAGTCCACCTCCTCCCCGGTTGCTGACAAAAGCCAAGGTACCACAGTTGAAGTGGTCACACGTTTTAGTAGCTGTCTGCTGGCTCACGAGAGCACCCCCCACGTCCCCACACCCTCCGGCCTGCTTCCGTGAGTGGGGGTGTGTGGCCTCTGGCCCTGCATTTGGGAAGGGAAGAACCAGGACTAGGCAGCGAAGGGAACATTCTGTGGCCACTAGCGAGGTGGTCTGCTAGCACCCTACGGGCTGTGGGAGGGTTTCAGACCCTCTGCATCTGGGTGGGCATGATGAGGTAACAGCGAGGACTGGGCTCAGGCAGAACAAACAAGTGAGACCTTAAAAGCCAGGGTTGCAATTGTATTAGCACTCTCAGATCAGACACAGTGGAGGAATTCCTTCCAACAAAACTACAGGGTTAGAAAGCAGGTCTGTGGGGGACACGACCACAGTGAGAGAACAGGGCTGCAGGTGGCTGCCCGCTCTTGGGGTGGTGGGGAGAAGCCTGGGGTGGAGCTAGGTTTGTTACCACCTAAAAGGTTCTGAATTCTCCCAAGAGTCACCAAGGGCTCTCAAGCTATAAAAATTTCTAAAGCCCACTGCAGAACATGACTCCCGGGGTGGCCTATAGCTTCCTTGACTGTCCAGCCCCACAGGCCCGCGAGCTGAGTCCAGAGGGGAGAGGACCACCACGGTCAACCCTGAAATCTCTGCTTGGGGCCTGGCGACCCACACTGCAAACGCCAATGGTAAAAGCCTCATCCTCAGACTCCTCTGGCAAAGTGGATCCAAGAGGAACCAGGGTACTGACAGAGCTAAGGACGGTCACTGGTGCTTCCTGGGCACTTCTGGAAACACTGGGCACAGACAAGGGCTGAGTTAAAAAAGAGCCAGGGCCCTGCTCGGTGTTCACTTGCGCAGGAACAGAAGGGAGGTGTGGGCGTCACTAAGCTGCGGGGAAACTGGCCAACTGGGAAATAGGCAAGGGCTCAACGGAGACCCTGAGCAGGAACGTGCGTCCTGCCCACCACATCCACGTCTCCTCAGAAGGCTTCAGGAGGCAGGTCTGAGAGCGACTTCTGAAGCTCACTGTCAAGAGAAATACGGGGGATTGACTGTGGTGGTGTTTGCAGAGCTTTGTGAACAAACCGACCCCACTGAATTGAGCACTCTAAATGGGCAAACTGCAATATGTGTGCATGCTCTCTCGACAGTTTAAAGAGCAGGAAAAACACGAGGGCCCAAGTCAATTTGTCAATCAGCATTTGAAAAAATATATTCAGGGTTTTTTACTCCAGTCCTTTCTGAACAGACATGGGCAGCGGCCAGATACTGGGCAGAGTGGAGAGGCCACTCAGACAAAGCTGCCCAGGCCAGCTATCAGCAAGACCATTTAGCAATGACTTTGTGGGATCACAGGGTTGCCTGTAAGTTTTCCAGTCACCAATGGAAACAAAAAATATTTACTTGTCATAGATATTTTTTTTATCAAAAAATGTATTTTAAATATTGATCTACATAAATTCATCATCTGTATTTCGTTCCTGAGAATACCGAAGTTCTGCCTCCGCACGCTGTTAGGAAGCCTGCATCTGGCAACGCACATACGAGCCAAGCACAGTCCTGACCGGGGCAAACACTCAGCACGTGGCCGTTTCCACACGGGTGCTCTGCGCGGCCTCTCTCTGGGACGAGCCCCTCAGAACCGCACCAAGGCTGCACCGTCCTCCTTCTCCAGGGCAAGCAAAGCCCCTAGCCGGGCTTCTCGGACTGCTGGGACAATCCCTTCTCATCTCCCTCGGTCTTAAGAATTAAGCCATCATCACTCGCTGTCCTACCCCCAGGGCTAGCGCAGGGCCTGCACGGTAAACAAAGAACACTGGGGGCTTCTGTTTCCCGAAAGGAGAAGGCAGGCCAAGGTGAGACTGCAGAATCCTAGCGACCCGGCTAAGTGGTTTGCGCTCCATGCTGAGGGGGTGACAAGGTCAACATGATGACTGGTAAGACTAATTACCAGTAGTGTAAGTGGACTGATGGAGGTGGGGGAGGAGGGATGAGACAGGGACACCCAGCTGGACTCGGCCACCATAATCCCAGGGTGTGAAAAGAAGGCCCTGAACAAGGTCAGGCCAGGCAGTGGACACTCAAAGGTAGGGGCTTGGCACACATCAAGGCTTAGTGATGAATCTGATGAAGAGACTAAAGGATGGGGAGGAACTAAAGCCGTCCTAGGAATCCAAGTCCAGGCAACTGTGAGGATGAAGCACGAGCAGAGACAGCAAGGGCTGGAGAGACGCTGGTCTTTCGTGAACGGGGAACAAGAGAAGACTACTGTTAGACAAGCTGATTCCAACATGACGGCAGCATGATGAGCCCAGCCTGGAGGAGGCTGGGCTAAAAGTGGGGAGGAGTGAGACATCAGGGGGAGCAAGAAAATGCCTCAAGGCCAAGGGCATGGTCCGAGGAACACGCAGGGGGAAGGGGCCCTGGTGAACTGGGAGGCACAGGCAGAAGAGGCAACAGAGAAGATGGGAGCAGGTGGGGGAGGAGAGCAGAAGAGTCAGGCACTTGGGAGGTAGGAGTTGTGGAGAGAGAAGGGCTCTGCAGCCATACGTCCCTGTCATGGGCAGGCATGAGCAGCCACTTGTTCAGTGCCTACGAGACCGAATTTCTGAGGGAAAAATATTCAAAATTTCTGAAAGAAAAGAGCAATGTAAGAGCCAGTATCTGAGAAGACGGGAGACTAGGTTCTAGAGCTCCAACAGAAAAGTCCTGGGGAAGAAGGAAAGGGGAGTCCAGAAACTTCCATGTAGGGGTAACGGGGAAGCACGAGTGTGGGGGCTGAAAACCAAGGTGCCTAATAGGATCTGTCAACTATCCCCAAAGGGGCGTCATTAGCCGAGAACAATGGGCAGAGGGGTTTGTAGAGAGCGGTGCCTGCAATATTCTCTCCTGGAACATCATCAGAATTTCTCCTCTACCCCCAAGAATATCTGACTGCTGGCACCCCTAGAATCTGACACTCTAAAGCCCCCACCCCATCACCTAACCACTACCTGAGCCTCCATTCTGGTTTCCGGCACATGTCTGAACTTTCCCCACTACCAGGGTGCACTGCCACCCGGGCCCCTATCCTCCTAGGGAGACTTACTAGAAAGGCCACACACTCTTTCACCTCGCAGAGCGGCCCAGCCAAGCACCCGTCCTGCTGCGGTGCTGCCGGAGAAGGAGCACACTGCGGAAGGACAAATGGCTACTTTTCCCCTCTCCCCAAGAACTCTGAACACAAAAAATAATCAGGTTCCTTTTATATATTTTTTTATCCTCACCCAAGGACATTTTTGCATTTATCTTCAGATAGAGTGGGAGGGAGAGAGGGAGGAAGAAAGAGAAACATCAATGTGAGAGAGACACATCGAGTGGCTGCCACCCACACGACCCCAACCAGGGCCAGGGACAAACTGCAACCAAGGCACGTGCCCTTAGCGGGAACTAAACCCAGAACTCTCTGGTCCACAGGCCGACGCTCCAACCGCTGAGCCAAACTGGCCAGGGCCAGGTTCCTTTTTAAATAAAGCACTACAGAGGTAAGAAAATATGTTCATATTCTCCACTCACAATCAGTACAGAGTCTAGAGAACAGGTCTCCTGTGTTCGAGTCTGAGGCCCTTTGTACCCGGTGCCCAGCAGCACAGCTCAGAAGGTGAGACACTGCCCACCTGGGTCTGGCAGGATCCCAGGGCCAGGAGTTCATCCACTGCATGCCCCCCTCCCCCGCTTCTTGTCCTCCCAGTGTAACTTGCAGATCGAGGTGCACGAGGGCCAGCATCTCTGGCTCACGCCCAGAAGAGTCTCACGACAAACCACAGTGGCAGCAGGGGACCTAAGTGCCAGGACTGAGAAGGCCATAGCAAAGCCCCTCAAGGAGGCTGGGTCTCAGGTGACAGTCTTCCAGGGGCCCGAGCACGTGGGGATACAAGCTCTGCATGGCCCTCCTGCCCCTACGGTAGACCGTTCTCTCCGCAACGGGACAGCACTGGCCACAGGGGAGAGGGCCTCCGCGGTGAGCAGAAAAGCAGGTCACCAATTTCTCAGAACTTTTTAATAATCATATTAATAGTCCCCACTCAACTTCCAAAAGTTAAAATGAGCCCAACAGAAAAGACTAAGAATGACTAGGAAAACTAGGAGCCTTTTACTTATCATTTTTAAAAACCTAGTCACAATGTCAGAAGCTACTGAGAACAATCTCTCAGACTGCGCCTGCCTTTCTGTCTGCCTTCGGCACCAGCACTATGTGGCTTCTCACTTCACTGAGTAATGATTCCTGTCATCTGTCTGTATGGCACCTGGAATATGACTTCTCCAAGGCAGGACTTTCTGTGTTTTTTCCCCCCTAATTTTTATTCATTTATTTTTGTTACAGATATTTCTCCTTTTAAGGCAGGACTTTGTATTTAGTTTTCTGTCTATCCCAGAATGCAGCAGAGTGCCTGGCATATAGAAGGCATTAAAAAAAAAAAAATGAATGAATGAAGCTCAGAGAACTGTTAGACTCAGATGTGTTCTAAGAATGTGTCAACTCATTAGCAATCCTTTACCCAGAACCATCTGCCCATATCCATCACTTAGAAGATCAATTATTGGAAAGATCAACTTATTACAAAGATGAAAACAATGACTTCCAGTATCAATTAAAGTTACTGAGATTACTGGCTAATCATTTTGTATACTTTCTTGGCCTGTTTCCTCATCTGCAAAATAGGAACAACATGAAAAATATCACTACACTTCTGCCCTGGTGGAAAAACTAAGACTGAGATTACCTGGCATGTGCAATGCTCAGTGAGCACCAAGTCTTCTTCCTCCTCTGTTATGTGAAAGTAAAAAAAGTATTAACCTCTTAACTTACCTTGCCCAACTTGATGCATGAATTTATAGTATCGAGCAGCTCAGCCTTTTTTTCATGTATAGGCACTTCTCCTAAGTCCTTCCCTATTAGTTCACCTGATGCATAGCCCATTGTTGACTCAAATGCAGGGTTTGCGTACTAGGGAGGGGGGAGGAAAAAAAAAAGGCATCAAGTGAATTAAAAGAAATTCTGAAAAGAGAACAATAAAGACTGTCTCCCCGGAAGCTTAGGAGCCTGGAGCTCACCACAGCAACTCTGAAACCACAAGAGCACAGCCCCGAGGTCCCTGGAGTCCAGAGGAGCCTGAGGTCCCGAGGTCCCTGGAGTCCAGAGAGCCTCTGGCCCAGGGTTACCTGGCTGGGCTTTCTGCGTGTTCCCCTGAGGCTCCAGGAGGTTAGCAGGTTCCCTCCCGGTGAAGAAGCCCATGGAGACAGACCAGGGGCTGCTCAGACCATGAACAGTGGAACAAAGCACTAGACTGGGATCTGAAACACCCGGGCTCTACTCCCACAAGTCCCTCAGCCCCTCCATGTCTCAGACTTCACATCTGTTTAATGATAAATGTTTAACATTTATCTCGCCTTTCAAGTGATGCAAATGAATAATGTATTTGGAAAGCAGGCAGTGAACTAGGAAGTGTTTGTAAATATAAGGCTTTATGGTTAAATTTCAAATAGGCCTACAAGATTTAAAAAAAAATGTATGTGCTGCCCTGGCCAGTTTGGCTCAGCAGCTGGAGTGTCGGCCCACGGACCAGAGTCCGGGTTCGGTTCCCGCTAAGGGCACACACCTTGGTTGTGGTTTGTCCCAGGCCCCAGTTGGGGTTGAGTGAGTGGCCACCACTCGATGTGTTTCTCTCACATCGATGTTTCTCTCTCTCTCCCTCTCCTACTCTCCTTCCTGCGCTATCTGAAGATAAATGCAAAATAAAAATATGTATGTGCTAATAATAATAATGTGAAGATGATAACAAAATAATTGATACTATTGAAGGTCTATTTTCCTTGAAAAGCACTAAAATTAACTCATTTGGTTCTCAGAACATCTTAACAAAAGGTAGGTTGCTGTTCATTTTAATGTTTCTCTCATTCAGATGAGAGCAGATTCAGACAGATTAAGTAACTTAGACCAAAGACCCTCACAGCTGGGAAGGGGCCTGACACCAACCTGTGCCCTCAACCACTGACCCCTGTGCTGCCTCTCAGGGCACCAACTCCTGAAGGTCTACCTCCGCAACTCCGAATCAAGAAGGTCACCAAGTTAGGCTAAAGAGAAGAACTGGGGTACGCAGAACCAAATCAAAGTGGAGCTGTTCTCAGCTAGAAGAACATTCTCTAGTACAACACCCTCTTCTGCTGTTGTCTTAAGTCACCGACATAAACCCACTTTGCTAATAACGAGTAATTTGTTCAGTAATTACTCGGTTACTTTTTTTTTTCTTTACTGGTTTTAGGGAGAGAGGAAAGTAGAAGGAAAGAGAGACAGAAACATCAATGAGAGAAACATCGATGGGTCGCCTCCTTCATGCCCCCCACTGTGGATCGGGCCCACAACCTGGACATGTGCCCTGACCGGGAATCAAACCAGCAACCTCTCGTTGCATGGGTCGACACTCAACCACTGAGCCCCACCGGCCGGGCTTACTCAGCTATTTGTGAAACTCAGGAGTTTCTCACGAAGTTCTGTAGGTGTAAACCACCCTCACAGACCGTGAGAAAGGTGAAAACGGCAGACCTTATTTTATGGTCAGAGCCCCACCCCCCCCGCAATAACCCTTCTGGGTCTCTCCTTAAACAAACAATAATTATTAGTACCTCTTCGTACCTACAGGGAACTTACTTCAAATTACTATTTTATAGATTTTGTTCTGATATTCCTCTATGGAAAACCTGGTCTCTTTAACTTCAAAAAGAAAAAAAAATCATATTAGAGGGGTCCAATCCTAAAAAATGAGAAAAAACAAAACCAGAAATCTAGAAGGACAAAATTTCCAAAATGACAAACCTGTATCAGGTTGGTGTCACTTATAATTTCAACGGCTTCTTGACTTTTCTCCACTGCAGTGAATACTGGGTTACAAGCCCTTTATGGGTAGGAAAAAAGAAAAAAGATTAATGTAAATACTACAAAATCTAATAGAATCTTAGGGTATTACATTAACGTATTTAAATGTGTCTTTTGTCTGATTATAAAGGTAACAAACGCTAATTCAAAAAAGTAGGGAGGACATATTAACGAGCACAAACAAGAAATAAACACCTCCCACACCACCACTGCTTGGAATCGTGACCATGCACAGTCTGAGGACCAGTGGACAGGGGTGGGGCACACACCAGGGTTCAAATCAGAGCCCTTCCCCTGGCTGTGGGACCCTGTGCAAGTGACTGAAACTCCGAGTCTCCCTTCCAGCATCTGAAGGGTCCTCGTGAGGACTAAATGAGAGAACAGAGTCAGGAACCCTGCACAGAGCGCAGCAGAAAAGAGGCAGTCAATCATTTGTAGTTATTATTTTAAACAAATGCTTTTCACAAAATTGGGCTTGTCGGGATAAGTGACTTTATCCACTGCTTTGTTCACTTAGCCTTATTTCATGAGCATGTTCCCATGTCCTTACTGTTCGAAACACTTTAAAAAAATGGCCCTGCCCGAATTGGCTCAGTGGTTAGAGCATCGGCCTGCGGACCAGAGTCCCAGGTTCAGTTCCCGCTAAGGGCATGTACCTACCTCAGTTGCAGTTTGTCCCCAGCCCCAGTTCGGGTCGTGTGGGTGGCAGCCATTCGATGTGTCTCTCTCACATTGATGTTTCTCTCTCTCTCTTCCTCCCCCTCCTGTTCTGTCTAAAGATAAATGCAAAAAAAAAAAAAAAAAAGTCCTCAGGTGAGGATTAAAAAAAAAAGTTTTGCCCAGCCAGTGTGGTTCACTGGTTGAGCATCAGTCCACGCACCAACAGGTCAGCAGTTTGATTCCCAGTCAGGGCACATGCCCAGGCTGTGGGCCAAATCCCCAGTGGGGGGCATGCAGGAGGCGGCCAATCAATCTTCTCTCTCACATCGGCTCTGTCTCCCTTTCTCTCACCCCTCTCCCTTCCACTCTCTCTGAATATCAATGAAACCCAAGCTGGTTTGCCTCAGAGGCTAGAGCCATCAGCCCGCGGACCAGAGTCACAGGTTCAATTCAGTCAAGGGCATGTACCTAGGTTGCAGCCCCGGCCCTGGTCGGGGTGGTGCAGGAGGCAACCAATCAATGAGTCTCTCACATTGATGTTTCTCTCTCTCTCCCCCTCCCCTCCCCCTCCTCCCCCTCCTCCCCCTTCCTCCCCCTCCCTCTCTTCCACTCTACCTGAAGATCAATGGAAAAATATCCTCAGGTGAGGATTTAAAAAAAAAATTATTAGAAAAATATCCTTGGGTGAGAATTAAAAAATTAAAACAATTGGATCATACTCTATAGTTTTATAATCTTCTTATCTTACTGAATATACATCAATACCTTTCCATATCAATACCTTTCAATATCAATAATTACAAATATTAACTTTCCATATCAATAATTGTTTTTAAATTTTTCAATTACAGCCTGCATTGAATAATTTTGTATTAGTTTCAGGTGTAAAGCATAGTGGTTAGAAAATCATATATTTTACAAAGTTACTCCCTCCCAATAGTGCTAGTACCCACAGCATATAGAGTTATTACATGTTACTGACTATATTCCCTATGCTGTACTTTACATTCCCCTGACTACTTTGTAACTATCAGTTTGTACTTATTAATCCCTTCACCTTTTTCTAGTCCCCCTACACCTCTCCCCTCTGGCAACCATCAGTCTGTCCTCTCTGTCTATGAGTGTTTTAAGTTTGTTCATTTATTTCGTTCTTTAGATTTCACTTATGTGTGCAATCTTACGGCATTTGTCTTTCTCTGCCTTATTTCACTTAGCATAACACTGTCTCGGTCCATCCACACTGTCACAAATAGTTAAGATTTCATTTTCTTATTTTTGAGTCATATGCCATTGTACCTATGTACCCACTTCTTCTTTATCCATTAGTCTATCAGTGGACACTTAGGTTGCTTCCACATCTTGGCTATTGTAAATAACACTGCAATGAACATAGGGGTGCATATGTTCTTTTGAATTAGTGTTTTGGGGTTTATCATCACTTTTTTTTTTTTTTTTTTTATCCTCACCCGAGGACATTTTTCCATTTTTTGTTCAGGTAGAGTGGGAGGGAGAGAGAGGAACAGAGAGAGAGAGAGAAACATCGATGTGAAAGGGACACATCGAGTGGCTGCCACCCGCACAACCAACCAGGGCCAGGGACAAACTGCAACCGAGGTACATGCCCTTAGCGGGAACCGAACCTGGGTCTCTCAGGACCGCAGGCCGACACTCCAACCGCTGAGCCAAACCGGCCAGGGCTACTTTTGATATCCTATACAATATTCTATATTTAATATTCTATATAATATTTTGTTGTAATGCCATACTATAATTTCAACAAATCCCCCATGACTTAACATTTAGGTTGCTTCCAGTGTTTTCTTGTATATGCCTCAGAAGATGGAAAAAAGAAAGCAATTGCCTACTTGTTAATGAAGTGCAGGGACAGTTAAGAAAATTAACAACAACAATCCTTTTTTTTACATTATTCCTGGTATTACTAAAATGTCTCACTAAACAAGACAAAAACCCTGGCCGGTTTGGCTCAGCGGTTAGAGCATTGGCCTGTGGTCTGGAGAGACCCGGGTTCGGTTCCCGCTAAGGGCATGTACCTCGGTTGCAGTTTGTCCCCGGCCCTGGTTGGTCGTGCGGGTGGCGACCACTCGATATATCCCTTTCATGTCGATGTTTCTCTCTCTCTCTCTCTCTCCCTCCCACTCTATCTGAACAAAATATCAAAAAATGTCCTCGGGTGAGGATTAAAAAATAAATAAATAAATGAACAAGACAAAAAAACCTAGCCAGTAAAAATCAGCTCTGCCCTGGCTGGTGTGGCTCCGTTGGCTGGAGCCATCATCCTGTGCACCGAGGAGTCACGGGCTCAGTCCCTGGTCAAGGCACAAGGCAACCCATCAATGTCTCTATCAACCTCTCTCTCTCCCTCCCTCCCTCTCTAAAATCAATAAAAACATCTCCTCAGATGAGAATTAATAAATAAATAAAAATTAGCTCTTACTTATTGGCATATAAAAATCAAGAGATGGTATAGTAATTACACCTCAAAAAGCTGTTATTTTTTTTTAAAAAAAGAAGTTCCCACTTCTGATTATAACAAGTTTGGAGAAGATGGATCTGTGAAAAGCCCTACTGGTTTTATCACTCTTTTTTAATTTTTATAGATCTGGTATATTTAAAAATGGTATATAATTTTCATTTATTTTATTACTAGTAAAGCTAAATACCTTTTCATGTTTACTGGCTATTAACATACATCCCCTGTGAACTACCTGATCATGTCCTCCTCCTCCTTTTTTTTTTCTTCCAGGTGTTTCCATTTTTTAACTGATTTATCAAAGTTCTTTATGTCTTTAGGATATTAACCTGTCTGTCTTACATGTTATGGATATATATTTTTCAGTTTAGATGACGAGTTGTCTAAATTTTTAACATTATTTAAGGTGTGGTTTTGTTTGTTTTTTTACTGCAAACTTAACATTTTAAAAATTAATTTATTTTTGTTACAGATGTTTTTCCTCCCCCCCGCCCCCAGACACCCTTCTCCCTATCCCCCTCCCCCTCCCCCAGGCATTGTTGTCTGTGTCCATTGGTTACAAATACATGCATATTAAGTTCTTTGGTTTATCTCATCCTTTCCTCCCGCCCCCCTCCTCTGACATTTGTCAGTCTGAACTGTACTACTTTCTATGTCTCTGGGTCTACTTTGTTCATCAGTATATTCTGTTCATTATATTCCACAAATAAGTGAGATCATGTGGTACTTGTCTTTTTCTGACTGGCTTATTATGCCTAGCATAATACTCTCCAGGTCCCTCCATGTCATCTCAAAGGGTAAGAGATCTTTCTTTCTTACAGCTGCATAGTACTCCACTGTGTATATGTCCACAGCTCTTTTATCCACTCATCTATTGAAGGACACTTGGGCTTTTTCCAGATCTTAGCAATTATAAATAGTGCTGCTATGAACATACGGGTATATTCTTTCTGATTGGTGTTTCAGGCTTCTTAGGATATATTCCTAGAAGTGGGATCACTAGATCAAATGGCTGTTCAATTTTTAATTTTTTTTTTTCAATTTTTAATTTTTTTTTTTCAATTTTTAATTTTTTGAAGAAACATCATATTGATTTCCATAGTGGCTGCACCAGTCTGCATTCCCACCAGCAGTGTACTAGAGTCCCCTTTTCTCCACACCCTCGCCAGCACTTGTTTGATGATTTGCTGATGACGGCCATTCTGACAGGTGTGAGGTGATAACCTCATAGTTGTTTTTATTTGTATCTCTCTGATGATTAGTAACGTTGAACATTTTTTCATTTGTCTCTTGGCCATTGTATGTCCTGTTTGGAGAGGTGTCTATTTAGGTCCTCTGCCCATTTTTTTAATTGGGTTGTCTTCCTTGTGTTGAGTTGTATGAGTACTCTATATATTTTGGAAATTAACCCCTTATCTGATGTATCATTGGCAATTACGCCAATGGGTTTACTTTCTGTTTTGATGGTTGTTTCTTTTGTTGTGCAGAAGAAGCTTTTTAGTTTGATGTAGTCCCGTGTATTAATTTTTTCCTTTGTTTCTGTTGCCTTAGGAGTGTATCAGTAAAAATTCTGCTGCGTATGATGTCTGAAATTTTGTTGCCTACAGTTTCTTCTAGGATTTTTATGGATTCACAAATCACATTTAAGAATTTTATCCATTTTGAATTTATTCTTGTGTATGGTGTAAGTTGATGGTCTAGTTTCATTTTTTTTGCATGTAGCTGTCCAATTTTCCCAACACCATTTATTAAAGAGGCTGTCTTTACTCCACTGTATGCTCTTGCCACCTCTGTCAAATATTAATTGAGCGTATTGCCTTGGGTCAATTTCTGGGTTCTCTGTTCTGTTCCACTGGTCTATATGCCTGTTCTTGTGCCAATACCAGGCTATTTTGATTACAATGGTTTTGCAGTATAACTTGATATCTGGTATTGTGATCCCTCCTTTGTTCTTATTTTTCAAAACTTAACATTTTTTTATACCATCTAATCTGATTTCCTTCCTTTATGGAATCTGGCTTTGATGTCGTGCTGAGTTTAACTCACTGGAGTTTATTTGGGGTTATGTGTGAGACTGGGCTATAACTTAATTTTCTTTCCAAATAGTTAACCAGTTGTCACAATTCGAGTCACTGCAGAGTCTGCCTTTTTCTGTGTTGATTTAAATTGATATATTAATCATATACTAAATTCTTAAATATACTTATCTACTTCTAAACTTTACTGATATAGCTGTAACATGAAGGTTTGTTATAGGTTAGTGCATTTTAATATCCAGCAGAACAAGTCTAGACTCTCTTTCTCCCAGTTCTCTACCCCACAGATTCCCCCTTCCCTTCGTGTTTTCCTAGCTCCCTTTTTTTTTCTTTTTGGGGTTGGGAAAGGCATGGGGGAGCTTGAGAGGAGAGAGAGGGAGGGAGGAAGATGGAGGGAAGAGAGAGAGAGAGAGAGACTGTCCTAGCTCCCTTATAATGGACGCCTCCCTCTGGCTATCAGCAGGTGCGCTGAGAACAAAGCAGGGCATGTTGACAGATAAGGACAGAGGGGTAAACAGTGGACAGATCATGGAGGGCCATGTAAGCCCACATTTCAGAGTTTGAACTTTATCTCGAAGGCAGTGGGGAGAGTAGTTGCAGAACAGAAACACAAATGGGTTTATGTGTTACTGCAGTGTGGAGAATGAACAAGAAGGATTCAAGACTAGATGTAGGGAGACTAATGGTTTCAAAATCCAGGTAAGAGAAGGCAGTGGTCTAAAGAGCAAGGTGAGTAGGCACAGTCCACAGATACTTAGGAAGCAAAATGAACAGGAGTTAGGGAGGGATGAAGGAGACACACACAGAGGGGCTTCAGTCCAGGACCTCAGGTAGGTGATGCTCAGTTCACTAAACTAAGGTTTTCAGGAAGAAAGGGTAGGAGGCTCCAGTTAGGTTCAAGGATGGAGGTGGGACAACAACTGCAATTTTGAAAATGCAGGACTACTTTTCCTGTTCACTGCTTGTGAGATCTTGGCTGTCAGTTAACCTCCCTGGGGCTCAGTTTCTGGATTTTGATTGGACAAAATCAGCCCTGCCATAACCCCCGCTCCACAATCTACTCCACTCGGAGAAAGGGCGGTAGCCTAAGTCCCTGTGGGGGTTCAGCAGGGAGCAGCTGGCTTCTGTTGGCTTCTGTCCATTCTATAGTTTTATTAATTTTTCTGCTTTTCTTGAAAGCTCAACAAGGGGCTAGGTTTCCACTAATTTCACTTAAAAAAAAACTTTATCAAGAGCACATGACAAACTGATTACTGAAGAGAAGAAAACATGTCACCTACCAGAGATATAACCAATGTTAAACAGTTGGCTGTGTGTATTAAAAGTATTTTTCTCTTAAAAAGAAAAACCCAAAAAACTAGATAATTCAGTATATATACTTTTTAATTTACTATTATTTTGGAGCCCCATCTTTAAATCTGAGTCTCTATCACTATCATGACAGCCAGGTGGTACGTGGTGAGGAGCCACCCTTTCACCCCACCCCATCTTAGCTTGAGGTCAGTTATCCCCAAAAGGTAGCCATCCCCAACCAAGCACTCACTCGCAACTGCACTGTGTGGTGTGGGGGCCTTTCCGGAGGCAGAATTACCTGAGTTTCAGCTGTGACCGCACCTCTCCAAACTCCAGCTGGAGCAGCTCATTGTAACAGGCCATGAGGTTAGGGTTTTCCACATACCTCTACAAACAGAAAGGGGATTTTGTGGATAAACAAATGTGCACCTTTAAGTTATTTATCTATGAAAAAAATAAGTCTTGTCAACAGACTTCTCAATTTGGTAACTGAAATCTGAAAAATATTTTATCTTCTATGATGAATAGAAAATAAAAGCTAAAAATTTATGGGTACCAAATTCACTTTTTAAAAAATAAGGTTTAAGAATGCTTTTCTTTCAGTACCTTGAGGTAAGAGGATTTGGTTGTGTGCATGTCTCTAGCAGAGGTTAGACAGTGTAGAAAGAAATTTACCAAATAAAGTCCTATATTAACTTTCAGAGAATATTCATTTATTTAAAAGCAGTATGATATCCTCTTTAAAGTTATACATACAATAAGCAAAAATATGCTTGCATCTCTCTTTGCACCTGGATTTCACAAAGGTAACCCTCATTTAGGCAACATTTTCCTTCACTGACCTCTCACCATGGTTCAACTAAGCCGACAAAAGATTACCTTCCAGAGCAGAGGGAGCAAGACGCTGTACATTCCCACGTGCTTGCTCTTTAACCTTGATATCCAATCTACCCTTTGGAGTAAAATAGCTCAGATATATACATTCATACCCAGTGAAAAATCTGGTTACATGAACAGGAGGCCCTTTGTTGACTTGTATAAATACATCTGTCTCCATATCCCACGATCTCACCTACAAAGCAGGTGAGGCCAGCCAAGACCCCAGTGTATCTCCAGTTCCCTACCCCTTGACTGCGGACAGGGGCACAAGCACGGTGCCCGGGTATCTCTCCTCTCTGCAGTCAGCAGGGGGCAGCTATGCAGACAGGCAGCATTCTCGGGTGTTCTGGGAGTCAGGGATGACAGGAATGAACAGCAGCCCAGTGCTCCCTTCCCCTCCCAGGAAGTAGGCTGGTAGATCTGTCACCTCACTCGACTTCTGCGGGTGAAGGGCTGTGCTCTGGTCTGCAGGCATGAGGACCTGTGTTCACAGGTCAGCAGTCCTTGACTTCCCTCCCTGTCTTTTAATGGGAAAATTCAGCCCGTTCACATACATCTAATTTTACTCTTATCTTATTTTGTGTTTATGGCTGATTTCATGCCATTGTTCCCTCTTCCTTTGTCTGTCAGTTTAATCAAGTGGCTGTAAATTCCATATATCCTCTTGTTAGTTTGGAAAGTTTATTAAAGTTTTCTGTTCTATTAATAGTCACCTTCCTTTGCACTGATCTCAAAAGCAGATATCGATTTCATTACCAGTATTTGAAAACAAGACACCAAGTACAAAGCAGCTCCTCCAGAGCAAATACTCTGGTCTGCACCTTTCCCACAAAGATGAAATTTCAAAATACACTCTCGGCCCACCCTCATTCCGTGTCTGCTAGACAAAGGCCGTGCGAATGCTTTCATCTCAGCCTCCTCCCACTGACCCTGCAGACGCCTAGGGTTGGCTAGGATAGTCCAGAAGTTAAATACTGAGCTATTATTACAATTTCCCTTTTGGTATGTCCTCCTGCTATGAGAGTATTATATACGCCAGTCTATATCTTTTCATTTAGGTCTAATTTTATACATAGATCTATTTTACTTATATGTAATGTTATCTAATTACATATAACACATATGCACACCTGTGTATGTACACGTGCAGAGAAAAGAAAAAGAGCACATGCACATGGCAGGTCCATCCCTCACCACATTTCCTTGCCACTTCATCCTCCCTCATCTTAAAGTTCCTGTTCTAGTTCATCTGCTGTACGGCTGGAGTCCTTGCTCATTATTTTCCTCAGCTGGGCTCTGAGGGAAACAGATCTCTGAATTTTATGTGTACCACCAAAGGAAACTTGTGCACTGAAAGGTGACCAATAACCTGGCTGGGGTCTAAGTCTCGGGCTGCAGTCCTCTCCTGCTGTAGTCTCTAGACATCGTCATTACTACTGTTTACACAAGGGATACGTGTGTATATTTACCCCACATTCACCACTTTCTTGTCTGTCATTCCTTCTTGCATTTCAGGCCTTCCACCTGTGTTCACCTTCCTTCTGCCTGAGGTACATCCTTTAGAATTCCTGGTGAGGATTTGCTAGTTACAAACTCTCTCATTTTTCCTATTTCTGAAAGATAGTTATGCTAGGTATAACATTCTAGGTTGGCAGTTATTTTATCACATTGTAATTATTATTTTTATCATCCTCACCCAAGGACATTTTTCCATTTTTTGTTCGGGTAGAGTGGGAGGGAGAGAGAGGAAGAGAGAGAGAGAAAGAAACATCGACGTGAAAGGGACACATCGAGTGGCTGCCACCCGCACGACCAACCAGGGCCGGGGACAAACCGCAACCGAGGTACATGCCCTTAGCGGGAACCGAACCCGGGTCTCTCTGGACGGCAGGCCAACACTCTAACCGCTGAGCCAAACCGGCCAGGGCTATTTTATCACATTGAAAATATTATTTCACCATTTTCTATTTTCCACTTATTGCTGCTAAGAAACTAGCTGTTAATCATTCTTTGTAATCTATTTCTCTGGTTGATTTTAAGATCTTCTATTATATTTGTTTTTTTCACTATGATGTATCCCCTCTTTTTATTGATTCTACTTTGGGCTTGTTGAAATTTTTGAGTCTGTGGACTAGTCTTTTGTCAGTTCTGGAAAATGCTCTGTAAACATTACATTTGCCCATTCTCTATCCTGTCCTTTTAGAACTCGAATTAATCATGTACATGCTAAGCCTATAATCTCCAGCTCCACATTTCTTAGCCTCTCTCTAACTTAAAGTTTCTTATTGTATCTCTGTGCTACATATAGGATAATTTTTTCTGACCCACCAAGTTTTAAGATTTTCATTTATTATGTGTTCATTTCTCAAAATTTCATATATTCTGCTTAAAATTTGCTATGTCACTTTTTTTTTTACCCTCACCTGAGGACATTTTTCCATTTTTTGTTCAGGTAGAGTGGGAGGGAGAGGGAGGAAGAGAGACAGAGAAACATCGACATGAAAGGGACACAGGGAGTGGCTGCCTCCTGCATGACTCAACCAGGGCCAGGGACAAACTGCAACCAAGGTACGTGCCCTTAGCGGGAACCAAACCCAGGTCTCTCTGGACCGCAGGCCGACGCTCTAACCGCTGAGCCAAACCGGCCAGGGCTTGCTATGTCACTTTTTAGAGCTTCTTATTCCTTGCAGATATCTCCAAGATTAGCCTGCCTTTTGTTTTTGTTTTTATCCTCACCCGTGGACATTTTTGCATTTATCTTCAGAGAGAGCATGAGGGAGAGAGGGAGGAAGAGAGAGTGAGAAACATCGATGTGAGAGACACATCGAGTGGTTGCCACCCACACGACCTTTACATATAATAAGCATAATTGCTTTAAAGTCACATCTGATAATCCTAGTATCCGAGAGGCATGGGGTGTGTTTCTGCTGTCTCCCCACTAGTTCTCACTTGCAATGCCTTGTCTCCTCCTGCCCTCCAACAATTATTTGTGGAGATTTTCTGCGGCCAAAGATGAAGGGTCTTCCTCTGGAAAGGATACTTATTGGCTCCTGCAGGTACCTGGGGGTGCTACCACCCAGAACTCTGTAAACTAAATTCACGGTTTGAGATTTCTTAACCTCCTCTGCCTCACTGATATAAATCTCAGCTACAAGTCTCCTCAAGGGTCAGCCTTGCATAGGTTCTCTTCCCCATGATTCCCAAGGCAACCAGCTGACCAACGCCTCCAGCCTTTTGGCTCAGGAGAAACCAATAGCCTGGAGCTGGGGGTGGAGAGAAGGGTTGTTTATTTCCAGAATCCTTGAAGTGACTTTAAGGTTGCATGTATACAAACAAGCACCCTGTGGAATATAACAACACACCCTATGGTATAACTTTTAATAAATAATCTGCCATTAAAGTTATTTTAACAGGCCATAGTTTGCGGAGATTAAGAAAGTGAGGTACTATAGATTATTAGATTACCAGGTTATAAAGTTAAAGCAAACTGTAACAGCACAAGGACAACAAATTTTTTTTTTTCAAATTAGTTAAAAACCTTTGCTGGCTCTGAACTGAGCTCAAATACTTTCTCATGCTGAATTATACTTGTATAATAAAGAAACGAGTACATACCCTCGTAAAGCCAGCAGCAATGAGGGGCATTACTGACGAGTCTTCTTTATCCCTCCTTCAAAAGAATATAGCAAATGGTTACAGACAATTTCTATCAATTACATCTCACCTCTTTATTCACTAATTTATGTAACACTATAACTATCCTAATGAGTATGTTTAGAAGAATTAGAGTAATATCAAAAGTATAAAATTAAAAATAGGCCTTGGCCGGTTTGGCTCAGTGGTTAGAGCGTCAGCCTGCAGACCAAAGTCCTGGGTTCGATTATGGTCAAGGGCATGTACCTCAGTTGCGGATTGTCCCTGGCCCTGGTCGGGGTTGTGCGGGAGGCAACCAGTCAATGCCTCTCTTTTACATCGACGTTTCTCTCTCCATCCCCCCAACTCTCTCCCTCCCTCCTACTCTATTTAAAGATAAAAAAAAAAAACTGAAAAAAATAGTTTTCTGTTTTAGCTTCATATGTAGCTTGTTGGCAGTATATATTAATTCTTGGAATTTAGAGGTTCCACTAACAGCCAGAATACAGGAGCAACCACAGTATGTATTTGATATGTAAACATTTTAATGTAAACTAAATGCTGTCCTATTTTATTCTACTGCCTGCTTTATTAAAAATAAATAAATCCCAGAGGGAGGTGAAACGGGTAAACGGGGTCAATAGTATGGTGACAGAAAGAAATTAAGAGTTTTGCGATGAGCAAGATGTAGTATATGCAGATGTCAAATTATAATGTTGCACTGCACACCTGAAACTTATACAATGTTACTTTAATAAAAATAAATAAATACTTTAAAAACCCCTTCTCCCCTCCCCCCAACAAGGCTCAGGAAAATAATTTAAAGGACACAGAAACATTTATCCTATCTATAAAAATATATAAGCTGAACAACATTTACTGAATACTGCCCTTCTCCTCACATATTTTTATCATTTCCGTACTTCCAATTTAAGGATAAAATATAAGGCTTCCTCCATTTATGTATACTTCAATATATATATTTGGAGTTCGAGGTCCTAGGAAGATAGCTCTGGAAAACATTCATACTTTCAGGAATGGAATTCTCCAGTGCTGTGCCTATTTCCAAAATGAAAGGCAGTCCAAAATCACACACCCAAGCATGAGAGTAGAAGTTCCCACCACAAAGTAGTTGGCAAAGCAAAAGAAAACAAGAAAAAAGAAAAGGCTAAACACTAGAAAGGGTAATGCAGTGACAGCCTGTAAGCTGTTGTTGAGACCTCTGTTAAGATCAAGCATTACATTAACACAGGAATTTCAAAGTAAAAAAAAACTTACCTGCGTACTACACCAATAATAACTGTGTTTTCTGAGAATTTTGATGATCTAATAGACCTATTAAAAAAACAAATTTTAAAATAAATTTAAAACAATTCGTAAAAAATTGAAAACACTTAGATAATTTTAGTAGAACAATGAAAGTTGGGGGGGAGAGGCAGAAAAGGGAACAAAAGCTCCCTTCACACTTTGGATTCACCTTCTTGGCTATTCTGTCCCTTTCTGTCTCCCAACTTCTGACTTATCATCTTAGCTTTGGGTTTTATGGCTGTGGTCAGTTTTGTCTCTTTTGTTGCCTCCATGGTTTTTTGACAGGAAGCTGGGAGGAGGCACTAATAACAGGCACCGCACAAGATGGCTTGTAACACCCGCCAATTGTTCACCTGCCTTACCAGCCTCACCCTGAGCCTGTCCCAAACGTGCCTGATCCAGCAGCCACCTGACATGGAGCAGAGGAGTTCTAGAGACCTTGCTTGTCCCTACAAATAAATGCTGCTCTCTCCACCTTTCTTCCTTTCAAAACTCCTGCTCATCCATCCGGACTCAGCCCAAATATCCTCTGTGAGGCAGCCGTCCCTGACATGAGCACCTGCAGCACTTTGTAGATACATTTTCTGTGGGAACATATGAGCAAGTACTGACATCACTTGCTTGTCCTGCCAACTATAGCCTTCACTCCTCAGAGGCAAGAAACGCATCTTCAGCTATGTGGCTCTGATACCAAATATAGTGCCCACAACTGAGAAGACATGCAAGGTAAGGTTCCTCCACTGGTAGATTTGGAAATACAGCAGACAGAATATTTGGCCTTCAACAAGCACCTGACAAGGAGTATAAGTTCTAAATGTACCCGACAAAGAGATACAGTGAATACTAGTCACTTAGACAAGTCAGCAACTGATTAAAAAAAAAAACCTTTCACAGGCCATGTTGATTAGGTACCCCCAAAGGAAGATGATGGGAAGAACAGGGCTCTGCCAGGGCTAAGATCTTGGGAGCTGTGTAAATCAGCAGAGTGAGCGAGCGGGCAGATTCAGGAGAGACAGCCTGGAAATAAACCAGGTAAGAGCCAGAATCAAGATGAAAGTAACAGGAAACCACATAGTAACCAACCTACTTCACATCCCTTATTTTTAAATTATATAAAAATTTTTATTTATTTATCAAGAAAAATTTGCTGAATGAATTAACACAATTTTTTTAGACTATTCCCAAAATGTGTAACAATTGTACATTTCCCCCCCTTAAAGTACAGCATAATTTTGTGTTCTATATATTTTACCACAATAAAAAAAGTGGAGCATAGCCCTGGCTGGTTTTGCTCAGTGGTTAGAGCATCGGCCCAAGGACCAATGAGTCTTGAGTTTGATTCCAGTCAAGGGCACATACCTCAGTTGCAGTTTGTCCCAAGCCCTGGTAGGGGTCAAGTGGGAAGCAACCAGTCGATGTGTCCCTTTTTCATTGATGTTTCTCTTTTTCTTTTTCTCTTTCCCTCCCTCCCTCTCTCTTCCTCCCTCCCCTTCTATCTGAAGATAAACAGAAAAATATCCTTGAGTGAAGAATAAAATTAAATAAATAAAGTGGAGCATAACTACAACCTAATCTTTCTTTTATAACAATTATGACCTGGTAGAGTCATCTTTACAGGCATGATTTTCCATCGCCCAATACATACCTGTGACACCTCACCCACTTCCCCACCTTTCCTATTGGGCTCTTTGGCCTCCCTTAGGTGCTTCTGCTGCCTTGAGCATCCCACCGTGACTACCAAGCACCAAGGACCTCATAGTTTCTTCCCTTCCTCTGAGTGACAGCCTACTAATGTTGAGATTTTGCTGGAGACCAAGTGTTCCAAATTTACCACTGAGAAACATCCCAGAGAAGGCAGAGTCACCCAAAGGCAAAAGCTGGTCTGGGGAAGAGCCGAATGCAAGACTGGGGCCTCCCTCTGCTTGGGCCAGAGCTCTCCCCATCTCTGGGGCCACGGTCATTCATGGATGTGACAGGCCATACAGCACACCAAACAAGGCTGGGCTCCAGTGACAACGGCTCACTGCAATCAATCGGACAGAGACAGGACACGGGCAGCACAGCGGGCGCCAGGTCTCGGCCGGGGGGAAGCGAGCGCTGCCAGAGGTGCATCACGCTGCTGGAGGCCGCCTACGAAAGGCAGGTTCTCACCGCCAAGGAAACAAGTGCCTGAAAATCACAGCTCTGCAGACAGCCTTCTAACATGTCTTTTTCTTGATATCTCAGTTTTCAACCTTTTGTTATATTTAGTTTAAATCTGTTCTATCTCCTAAAAGGCAAGATTTTAAATGTCTTTAAAGTTAATGTTATATTATATTAAAATTATTATTTGTTTTCCTCCAAATAAAGTTTTCTATTAAGTAAAAATGGATGTTTCACTTTGCCTTGCTTCCATTAGCAGCAAATAACTTTCTTTAAAAAGTACTTTGATTTGTCTGCTACCCAGAATTCTCTCATAACACTGATATTCTGCAAGTACTATAAATAAGGCACATTCACCTAACATTAGAAGACAATTTTCAAACATCTGGAAATAACTCGTTGCAGTAATATGCAGGTGACAGTTGTGGTTAATTACATATTGGATTTTATCTTAACACTTAATGGTTCACATTTATACTTCTTTACCGTTTATAACAAAGCAAAGCGAAACAAAGCAAGAGATAAAGATCAGACCTAGAAACGACACTGTTCTAATCTAATGTCTTACTTATTTTACATGCACAGAAGGCAACTTAAAGGACACTGAATTTAACAACATATTTCTGGGCTGCATTGTTGTCGCAAATGCTGGGGGACCACTTAGGCCTGAGTCTCAGGCTTACCTGCACAGCGCCTCTGCATCCAGATTTCGGGGATTTCTGTGGTCTATGATGATGATGTCGTGGTGTGTGGCCAGGAAACAGGCAAGGACAGCCTGAGACTCCTTGGTAACTGTACATTTAAACCCTGCTTTTTCACATGCCTTACAGAACCCGTTACACTGGTTATCTTCTTTGGTAAACACTAAAAGTACCTGAATCAAAAAAGCATAAACACTTAAAAAAAAAAAAAAAAAGATGTTGGAATCTCGTTTCTTAACAAGACACAAAAAACTCCCAGGTGTTTTAAAGCAAGTACACAGATGTGAACATAATCCGTTGATATAAATCTTTATTTATTTTTATATATATATATTTTTTTCTTTATTGATTTTAGAGAGAGAGGAAAGAAGAGGAAGAGAGAGACAGGAACGATGAGAGAGAACATCAACTGGCCGCCTCCTGCATGCCTCCCACTGGGGATTTGGCCCACAATCTAGGCATGTGCCCCAACCAGAAATCGAACCAGCGACCTCTTGGTACATGGGTCAACGCTCAACCAGTGAGCCACACCGGCCAGGCTGTTGATATAAATCTTTCTCCTACATGTAACTCAGGGATGTTATCACTCAGCTCCTGGAAATCAGTGTTATTCTACCTGCTTTTAGTCTAGGATCACATACTTACTTCTTTTGCTAATAAATCACTGGCAGAACTTAACAAAGGCTTGATCAAGCCCTATATCTTTAAACTACATAAATTAAACCACACAAATATTTGTTCCAGTTAACAGTAAGTTAACTAAGCAAGTCCTTAGATGGGAAATGCTAATATTTCAAACTCCTAAAGTACTTAGTATTTTATGTAATGTATTTAAATGTTTTGACTCAAGATTTTATGTAATTCCTCCAAGTTGAAAACAATTACTTTGATTGTAAGAGAGGAAATTTAAAGTAGACCAAATGATATAGTTTAAAACCTGTCAGTTACTGACAACAGGAATAGCACAGGTACAAGAGCAGTGCCTCTAGCTCTGCCCAGAATGCAGCTGGCTGTCCCCAGGCCGGGCCCGGGTCAGGGGAGGTCTGGATCGACAGTTTCTCCCCTATCCAGCCAGCCCCCCAGCCAGATCTGGTTCAGCAGTGCACTGCTCCGTCAACTTCAGACGCAGACTGACTCCCGGGGCCACAGTGGTAACAGAGACAGGGCAGCCTGTGCAAAAGAGGCTACAGAGCTGAGAGGAGTCCTGTGCCACAGCATTTAGTTCCTTGAAGTTTACCCATGTGAACAAATACTACAAATACAAAGAACTAAAAGAGCACATCTCTACCAGTTTTCTCCCACATTAAAAAAAAAAAAAGAACAGTGAGTATGTTTTTGTGAAGGAAATATCAAATAACTTGGTGTTAAATTTCAATTGGTTATTTTTGTCTAATATTTTGGATTAAATAATTTATATATAATTTTTCTCTGATACAGTTATTCAGAAACATGGAAGGACATGTTTTTACTTTTTTTTGGTCAATCCTCACCTGAGGATATTTTTCCATTGATTTTTAGATATAGTGGAAGGGAACGAGGGAGAGAGAAACATCCATGTGAGAGAATACATTGATTGGTGGCCTCCCACATGACCCTGACAGGGACTGGTGATCAAACCTGCAACCCAGGTACGTGCCCTTGACCAGAAATTGAACCCCTGACCATCTGCTCCACAGGCAGACACTCTAACCGCTGAATCAAATCAGCCAGAATTACTTTTTTTTTTTATCCTCACCCGAGGATACTTTTGCATTCATCTTTAGAGAGAGCGAGAGGGAGAGAGGGAGGAAGAGAGAAAGAGGAACATTGATGTCAGAGAGACACATCGACTGGTTGCCACTCACACGACCCCAACCGGGGCTGGGGACAAACTGCAACCGAGGTACGTGCCCTTAGCGGGAACCAAACCCGGGTCTGTCTGGACTGCAGGCTGATGTTCTAACCGCTGAGCCAAACTGGCCAGGGCCAGAATTACTTTTTTGTATTAGAAAATTTCAAACCTACAGAAAAGTTGTGAATGACAATGAATACTAGTATACCCTTCTAGTTTCATGAGTTGTTAAAAATTTTGCCACCTTTACTCTCTTCTCCCTCCCCCACTCCCTCACTACATATACACGCGCACAAGTGCACTATTACACACATTCTTTCTTTTGTTAATCCTCACCCAAGGATATTTTTTCCATTGATTTTTAGAGAGGGAGGAAGGGGGAGGGGGTGTGGGGGTAAGTGGAGGAGGAAGGGGGAAGAGGGAGAGAGAAAAAAAATCAATGTGAGAGAGACACATTAATTGGGTGCCGCCAGCACGCACCCCAGGGCTGGAAATTGAACCCACAATCCAGGCAGGTGCCCTTGACCACGAATCAAACCCATGACCCTTTGGTGAGTGGGCTGATGCTCTAACCACTGACCACACCGGCCAGGGCTACATTGTTTTTTTTAATCGTTATTGTTGAAAGTATTACAGATGCCCCCCCTCTTTTCCCTCATTGACCCCGTCCTCCCTGCTCCCACACCCACCCCCTGCTTTCCCCACCACATTCTTTTCTTTATTGCTGAACTTTTTAAAGTAGGTTGCAGACATTTCTTCATCTCTAAATACCTAAATGTGTATTTCTAAGAAAAGTACACTCTCTTATATAACTATAGTACTGAGACTGTTATCTAAAATAAAATACTATTTTCTATGTATAACATTAGACCCTCTCCCCCTCCCCACCTCTTTAAAGAAAATAAACATGAGAAAACTATAGCATGGTTTATAATTACCTGGAGTTGATCTGGATGAAATCTCATGGGGCCAATTTGCACATTAGTTACTGTTACCTGTAAGAAAAAAATTTGCACATATATATATACACATACATACACACACACACATACATGTAAGCCTGCTTAACATTTTCCTTCTAATCAGAGCCACAGATGAAGGTAAAATCTCTACTCCAGAGAAAATCACCCAGGTTTGCTCTGGAGGAATCCCAGGGATCTCCTTATGGCCCCAGGAAAGGGAGAGAGCAGAGAGGGAAAAATGAAATAAGTGGGAACCCGGCTTTTCTCTTCCTAACGGTGTGTGACTTTAAGTGAGCTACTCAAACCCTGGCCGGTTTGGCTCAGCGGTTAGAGCGGCGGCCCGTGGACCAGAGAGACCCAGGTTTGGTTCCCACTAAGGGAATGTACCTTGGTTGCAATTTGTCCCCAGCCCCAGTTGGGGTTGTGTGGGTGGCAGCCAGTCGATGTGTCTCTCTCACATCAATGTTTCTCTCTCTATATTCCTCCCTCTCTCCCTCCCGCTCTATCTGAAGATAAACGTAAAAAAAAAAAAATGTCCTCGGGTGAAGATAAAAAAAAAGTGAGCTACTCAACCTCCCCCAGCCTCAATTTCTCATTTGTTTCAAAGATCAAATGAGATTACAATATAAAGAGCCCCCAGAGATTAGACCTTGACTGATAGTGGCTCCCTCCATGTCTACTTCTCTCCTTCCCATGACAAACAGTGAAATCTTGCATCAAAAATGGCACATAAATAATGACACCCAGCAGTCAGAACAGGGGACCTCTGAGCCAAAGAAACCTCTGAGAAATACTTGGCACTTCTCGTTTTACAAAGTAGCATAGTGCTTGCTCTTACGATAAATACTTATCTATTTGAGAACTTTATACTAAAAGACACAAAGAAAAATACAGTGTCATCGCTGAACCCTCATGAACAACCATCATGGTGCCAACGGAGGACTGAGCATATACCTGGCACTGTGCTAACGACTGAACACACGTCACCTCACTGAGTCCTCACAGCAATGAGGTGAGAGGTCACAGCCAGCAAACCAAGGTTCCAAGTACCTTGTTTAGGGCCAGGCAGCCAGCAAGTGGCAGCTGGGACTCCACTGACCAGTCTGTTTTATTCTATAACCTGGGCTGCAAACCCAGGGCCACTGGAAGGCTTGAGCAGACTGTGTGTGGCATCATGGAATCCAAAGGCGGGACAATGTGGGCCTGAAATCCAGACCCCAGAAATGAACCCTGATACTGGGTCCCTATGCAGAGGAAGAGACACATTTTTGCAATTTCCCAGAAATACTGCATGTGTTGAAGGTATCTGCACCTGCTGGGGCCCTGGCGATGGAATGACTCACACCTAGAAGATGGCAGTGGAAGAACTAAATCTGGGAGCCTTCCCACCAGACACTGCCCAGCTGCCGCCCAACCCCCGCCTCTCCCCTCAGGCAGTGACCCATCCCACAGAAAACAAATGGAATGAAACCTGCTTAGCAATGGGGAATGTCTGTGCACATCTGTAACTGCCAGAAGCTGATGTCTTCTAAGTATGGGACACTGGCTCAGTTTCTGATTCACTATGTAGGAGTTTCGTCTCTCAGGAGGCATAAGAATGAGGGGACTGCTATTTCAGGCCTCAGACTGAGGAGGAGGACTCCTCGACAGGGTGGAAAGGTGAGAAGAACAGACTCCCATCTTGCCCCCAGCCTCATACTGAGAGGCACAGCTGGACGCCAGAGCCAGAATTTCTGAGCGATAATCCAAGAGGGTCAGGACAGTCTTCAAAGAGATCATCTTAAAACATTTAAAAAAAGTTTTTTCCCTTTTTTAATTTTTAGAGAGAGAGGAAGGGAGAGGGAGAGAGAGACAGAAACATTGATAAGAGAGAACATCGACTGGCCGCCTCCTGCATGCCCCGCACTGGGGATCGGGCCCACAACCTGGGCATGTGCCCTGACCAGGCATGGAACCGGCAACTTGTTGGTGCATGGGTCGATGCTCAACCGCTGAGCCACACTGGCCGGGCTTAAAACATGTTCTTAAAAGTAAAACGTATACAGCCCTGGCCAGTTTGGCTCAGTGGTTAGAACGTCGGCCTGCAGTCCTGAGAGACCCGGGTTCGGTTCCCGCTAAGGGCACGGAGCTCGGTTGCAGTTTGTCCCCGGCCCTGGTCGGTTGTGCGGGTGGCAGCCACTCGATGTGTCCCTTTCACGTCGATGTTTCTCTCTCTCTCTCTGTTCCTCTCTCTCCCTCCCACTCTACCTGAACAAAAAATGGAAAAATGTCCTCGGATGAGGATAAAAAAAAAAGTAAAACGTATACAGTTTTTATCCTTCAACCACAGTGCAATCAAAGTAGAAATTAGAAACATACACTTAAACAATATCAACAACAAAAGCTCCTCCCTGGAAATTTTTGAAATATTAACTCACATAAATGCTGGATCAGCAAGGGAAATGCAAACTATAACTATAGATTACTTGGAAAATGATAAAAATGAAAATATCATGTAATAAAACTTACAGGATACTGCTAAATTTTTCTCAGAGGCAAAATTCATAATTTTAAATCTTTTTGTCATGATGTAAGAATTAAGTAAATAAACTTCCGAGCCCAGTTTAAGAAAGTAAACAGTACAAAATTAAGGAAATCAGGAAGAAAAAAAATAAAGTTAAAGGCAATAATTAATAAAAATTTTAAATGTTAATGACTAGTATGTTTTTTAAAAAATACATATATGTGTGCCAAAGCCTCTTCCCTCCTGGGAAACAACTCGGTGTATGGTCTACACCGAAAGTGGTGAAATAACAACTTGTACAAAGGACAGCATAACTTTACATCTCAATTTATGAAAATAACTCATCACTGCATCAATTTTAAGAAACCAAAGAAGCTATAGATTAATTGTTTAAGAATTACAAATTTTGCCTCAGTATAATTTTAGCAATATCAGTTAAAAATGTTACTGTTTTGGCAATTCTATTTTACACTGAACACTTTATTTACTCAACGAGATTGCATTTTAACCTTGCATCCTGTCTACAGGGTATATCCGGCTCTCAGGACCTCTGTGGAACAGTAGCCCAGTCAAGTCCTACAACTACTTACCATGGCCCCCCCAAAATCACCACCCCAGGAAATCTGATGACATTACTCAGTGAGCAGACATCAGCAGTGGGCCCTCAAAGAATAAACAACTTCCCAGCGGTTCTGGATAGGGGATCAGAACTACTGGAATTCTTGTATCTGTCCTTTCTTCGTGTATGAAAATCAATTATCAACTGACCTAATGCTTCAGGCCACAGCCCCTTTTTTATAATCCTCACCCAAGGACACTTTTCCATTTTTTGTTCAGATAGAGTGAGAGGGAGGGAGAGAGAGAGAGAAACATCGATGTGAAAGGGACACATCGAGTGGCTGCCTCCTGCATGACCCAACCAGGGCCGGGGACAAACTGCAACCAAGGTATGTGCCCTTAGCGGGAACCGAACCCGGGTCCCTCTGGACCGCAGGCCAATGCTCTAACCTCTGAGCCAAACTGGCCAGGGCAGGCCACAGCCCATTTAATAATATTTATTTTTTTACACTAATATTTAGAAGGGAAAAATCATTTCCCAATTAATTTTAATACTGTAACTTGGATTTACTCTTTCAGCTTCAAAAGCAACTGGTATTTTTAGGTAATATATAAACAAACAGTATGTTCGCAGGCTGATATTGGTAATTATACAAGTTGTTGAGTTTAGCCTTTTGGATTTTTTAATATTTATGTATTTATTAAGATTCATTGTTAGAAAAATATTGTAAAATTAGGAGTAATAGATAAGGATGATGTCTATTTGTATTTTAAATTTTTTTTTTTTAATCCTCACCCGAGGACATTTTTCCATTTTTTGTTCAGGTAGAGTGGGAGGGAGAGAGAGGAACAGAGAGAGGGAGAGAGAAACATCGACGTGAAAGGAACACATCGAGTGGCTGCCACCCGCACGACCGACCAGGGCCAGGGACAAACTGCAACTGAGGTACGTGCCCTTAGCGGGAATCGAACCCGGGTCTCTCTGGGCCGCAGGCCGACGCTCTAACCACTGAGCCAAACCGGCCAGGGCTGTATTTTAATATTTTTAAGTCATTTTTGTAAATATGACTGACAGAAACATGAACTAAATTATTAGAGGCTTTGATGAAACACTTTTCAGATTTTTTTTGTTGTTGCCTAACTGACCTAACATCACTTACATGTGACTCTCGAAGGCAAAGTTACTAGGTTATGACTCTTGATTATGGTAGGCATGGGAGAGGAAATACATATATAATTCCAACCTAAAATTTCTACTCCCATGACCCTCCCTATTCCTTTGCCTGCTTTGTTTTTTTCTTCGCAGCTCTTAGTCACCATTTACCACACTACTAATTTTATTATTTATCTCCTTTATTGTCTGTCTCTCCCACTGGAATGTAAGTTCTACGAAGACAGGGATTTATCTGCTTTATTCATTGCTACATTTCCAATACCCAGAACAGAGCCTGGCACCTGGCAGGCACTGAAAAATATTTCTGAATGAATGTCTACACAACAGCTATTCTTTCTGAATCTATCTAGAAATCATACTCATACCAGCTTTCACACAGACACGTTCTCAGAGTATTTTTACATTCAGAGTGTACTTCATAAAGGAAGGAATCTTACACAGCAGAATCATGTGGTCGCTCTCCCTTCTTCCTACATCTCCTGTATTAGAAACTAAAGCTATACCGGGATCAGTTCACATCAATTGCATGCAAACGCAGGAACTACAGTGAAGACTGAAATCAGATGCTGTCCTGGGCTGTACTGTCCCCAGGCTTCCCTTGTAGGGCCAGGGGCCATCTTGTCTCTCTCTCTCCGGCAAAGAGTGGTCGTTTGATCACAGGGACACAGCCTGGACAAGAATCAGGGGACACAATTCTTAGGTGAGAAGAGTCAAAATTAATCCAGGCATGTGTAAACCACCCACTACTATATTATAAGCCAAGCGCAGAGTAAGGTAACAAGAGTGCAAGAAACAAGT